GTAAGTAATTTATGAAAACGGACCGCCAAATGAATTCACCTCTTTTTTATGGTCTTGCTTTAATTTCTATGCTACTTTTCAGTTTGTTTAGTATATACTTGTATATATATAAACATATATACTTTACATATATATTCATATCATTTTTTTAATGTTAAATATATTTGCATTTGAAGGTATGCTATAGGAAACGCGGAGAGAACTCTGTTAACAAAAAACATTGGCTGGCTGCATTCATTAGGAAATGACATTCAAGAGCCATACTTTGATAATAATACTGGTGGGCCAACAATTAAGGTATAAAATATACTATATTAATTAATTTCCATACATAAAAATAAAAATTTTAGTCTAGGTATATTACTGCGCTCTATTTTACATTTACATCATTAACCTCTGTTGGATTTGGTAATGTTGCTCCAAATACTGACGCTGAGAAAGTTTTTACAATATGTGTAATGCTTGTGGGCTGTAAGTACAATGAATTAACTTGCGTTATGGATGTATGTATGTACATATTTTTTTGGAGCATGTTATTCAATGATATGTTAATAAATTCATGATAGGAACAATTTTCAAATAACGAATTTCGTTATATTCACTAAATGTGAATTATTTAGTATTCACCAAACTTGATCCCTCACTTGCCCGGGTACGTTATTTGTATTTTGTTATAAATTAATCTAGGAAACAGATTTCCTCAATTATTCGAATTCAGTATTTGCCTTCGATTTTAGCATAATTTACAAGTATTTATTTCAGTCCATACAAATTTTTTCTTTCATGTTTTATGCATTTAAATGCTAAAGCTTATTGGTATTATACTAATAATATGGATCCGCATACACTTGGAACTTAAATGAATAAACCGATTATAATACACATAATATTAGCCATGACAAGAGAGAATTAATATACAGTTAATTATTTGCTAATGTCTGTACAACAATTAATTTTTTTCGTACTCGTATTATAATGAGTACTTGAGTCCACAAACAGAATTCCATGGAGCGGAATAATTAGTTTTAGTTAGATATGCAAAAATATATGATCAATATCCATAATTAAAAATAGCTAGAATAGGATTATGCAACCCAAAGGATTAGGCTACTGCATTTTATGAGGTAATAGTTTTTGGTTTTGCACGGAACGAGATTAGAAAATATTTTGAGTATCTAAGTCTATTAATTTCTGTTATTCTCGATATTTACAATACTTTTTATATGACAATACATTTAAATGGGAATATACCTTAAACATTTGAACTGTGTTTTCTGCACTGAAATAATGTAAGGATCCCGAAAAAAATTCTATTTCAACAAAGCACATTGAAATATCGTTCTTTGTGTACTTGGGTTATAATAAGTATAGCTGTTCTGAAAGTGTTTATGTTCTTCCTTCAGCGCTCTAGTATAAAAACCCATTAAATTTTTTTAGCTCTTATGTATGCGAGTATATTTGGAAATGTTTCTGCAATAATACAAAGACTTTACTCGGGTACTGCCAGGTATCATACACAAATGTTGAGGGTGCGTGAATTTATTAGATTTCATCAGGTAATCCAACACTTTGTAAAAAAGGAAAAATATGTTCATGAAGCAAGATTGAATACTTAATTTTAGATTCCAAATCCACTTAGACAGCGATTAGAGGAGTATTTTCAGCACGCTTGGTCTTACACGAATGGTATAGATATGAACTCAGTTCTAAAGGGGTTTCCAGAATGTCTTCAAGCCGATATTTGTTTGCACTTAAATAGAAAACTACTAACAACGTGCTCGGCTTTTGCGGGAGCCAGTCCCGGTTGTCTGAGGTAAGTACATGCATATGTAGGCTATGAATACTTGTATAATAAATTCTAATTCATTAATTCAAGGCAAGCTAATTGTAAGCAATAAACATTTTACGACCAAATAATGTCTATATTTTTAATTTATGTACATACATACATATGTAGATCACAAGTTATTGAACGCATCTACATATGTATGGTATTTGTTCATTGATACAATTTTTTCTAATTATTTTGCAGAGCTCTCTCTCTAAAATTTAAAACTACCCATGCACCTCCTGGAGACGTTTTAGTACACAGAGGAGACGTTTTAACATCACTATTTTTCATAGCAAGGGGTTCAATAGAGATACAGAGAGATAACAACACCGTCGTAATACTAGGTACGACATATTACCAAATGACGTTACACCATGATTTTATTTTGTGATAAGTGGATAGTTAATTTAAAAATTGATTTTACTTATTGACTGCACATTTTGAGTGGCGATTTATTTTGGATTTCTGTGAATAAGTCCAGGAAATCATGGGCTTGAAAATATATACATTTTTATGCATATCCATGTGACTACAATGGGGTCAAATTACGTATTACACTTTTTATATATGTTTACATACATATTTATTTTTAATTTTTAGGCAGCACCCTACTCACCTAAACATGTAAAATCGGTTATATATATACTTAATCTGGATATGCAACTATAATTTAAAATTCACTTGTTATTTAGGTAAAGACGACATTTTTGGAGAAAATCCCTGTAACTATGCAACCATAGGAAAGTCAAATGGCAATGTCCGCGCTCTAACTTACTGTGATATCCATAAAATTCACAGAGATGATCTCTTAGATATATTAGATTTATATCCAGAATTTTCAGAAAGTTTTGCCAATAATCTTGTTTTAACATATAATATGCGGGATGTAAGTAATTTAATTCTAAGTGATTTCTATGTTTATATTTAAAAAATTATTTTTGTATCTTTAGGACTTTCAAGCTGGAGTCGAAGTAAAGCATAGATATTTAAGAGCAAAATCTTTAGACAGAGAGAGAAGTACCAGTGATATAACATCTATACGAATGTAAGTAACAAATTGCTGGAACGTACAAATTACAATACGTTACACTGCAACCGAAATGAATTTACAGAATACAATAACCGAGCGAATTTTTCCCTTTCAGTTTTGGTATTCACCAAAAAAATAAATCAAAAGGGGATTCCGGTCCAACAAAGGCTCAGAATAAAGAAGTACTAAATGATGGAAAGGATCCTTCAAATTATCAGTTTGATATTCAAAACAAAGGTATTTAAATTAATAAAAATTGCGACACATCATTTACAAACTATTACCTATTAATTCTTGAAACAGATGATATTGAAAACATGCATGCCATATATAAAAATATAAAACATAGACCAGCTTCTCTTAATCGACCTAACTTATCAAAAACGAATCTTCAAGAAAATAGCAAAAACCATAAAATTAAATATATAAATGAAATGAACTTATCCACATTTGAAAAGCAAAAACAAAGGGCCACTTGGCTTCGTCAACACAAATTAATCAATAGCACTGCGCAAGAAAAGGTCTTACAAGATGCCTCACTCTATTTGGATCAGCAAAGGACTGCTGTCCATCCCAGGTAAGTTGCAATTTTCACCACTTTTTCTTAAAAATTATATATTTCTATGTATTGGTGTGTATGTTTGTAACTACACTACAATGGCCTAATGTTAATTAAAATTTTAATGTAATTCAATCGCATAGGGACTCTGTGAAATGCAACGTTTTTTCCGAAAAGGCCTTACCTACTCCAAACGCAACCATCGCTACTACGGAGTCATGGGATGAACTTGACAGTGTATGATTGACTGTAATTGTCTCACATATTTTAGATAACAAATTTAATAAATAGTGCCACACTGAAATGAAAAGGAAACATTTACAAATTATGCTCATGCGAAAGTCGTTTTTGTTTCTGTTGCGTTAGCAAACGGAAGGTGTTTGTTGTTCTTCTAGCGGCTACTCAAACCCAACTCTAGGGCCAAGAAGAGAGCGGAGGGTTATTCCAGGCTTGCGAGGTAAGTCGGTAAACAACCATGTTCGATATATTGGTTGCAAAATGGATGAAGTTGTTGGTTATTATGAGAATGGCCTACTAATCTTAGGTGACCACAAGTGACTGCATGGCTATGACCGCCTGACCGGCCGGTTACCTTGTTTCCAACAACGATTCTTTTATATTTTTTCCAGTTTGTGATGTGAGCTCTTCATTAACTTTATTACAATCCGAACTTTGATAATTATCCCTCTTTCTTTGAAATTCCCTCTGGTCACTGGGTTAATTTCGAAACATTTTTTTACCTCAACATTTTATTTATGCTAGTCGACCAATCAAATAACATAAGTCATAGCTGAGCTCTGGAAAAAGTGTTTAGATTTCAATTTCCTAGGTTTCATTAACGGAAGCCTTCAGATTATTTTCCGAACCGAGTGTTTGGAGAGTGACTAGTGACAGGTTAAGGTAAGGTAGTGACATATAGAGCAAATATCGAGAACATGTTGTTGTTGTAACGGCAGAAAACATTCCTAAAGTAATTTCGATGAATGGTGGCGAGTTGACAGTCCTTGGACGGATAAAGATCCAGGTCCGGTCCGGTTACTTAGACCCAACTGTCGTGGCAACGGGAACATCGCGAGTATCGTAGACTTCAACAATCGAGGGTAATGCGCACGTGCCCAACAGCAGCGTTGTACATGACAAAGGTCATAGCTGAAAACCCTGTCCCACGACAGTCGGGTCTACGTAAGCGGAACGGACGCGGGTTTCTATCCGATCAAGGATTGTCATCTCAACAGCATTCCCCCGATTTACTTTAGGAATGTTTTCTGCTGCTATAACAACAACGAACTTGTCCGTTATGTGGCTTTTTTAAACTTTTCAGCTTTAGGTCTACTTGTCGGGATTGTTGTTGTTGTTATTTAATGTAACTCAGTTGTCATCGAAGACATCTAACGATAGGTTCAGGTAGCTAATCTCGCATAAAAAGTTATATAGTAGTGGGATGCGTAATATAATATAATTTACATATGTCAAGAATGATATGATTCGAGGCTCTATCTTTATTCTCTCAAATGCGTTCCCTGAATAGAGCGATGGAAATCACGAATCTTTAAACAGCTGGTATTAAAATATGCGAGATGTCAGAAATAAACCCTTGTTGATTTTCGCCGTTCTTGGTCTTAACTCTGTATAATTAATAATCATCTGAAACATACTGTACCTCTTCATATTACAATTTCATGTTCATTTGTACTAGTTGAAATATATGGTTACAATGAGCCATTTGCGGGGAATCGCTTCGATTTTAACACGATTTTTATCGTCGGTTCAACAAAATAACGCCCAGCAGCAAATACAACAGTTGTTAACTGGCAGATTTCCTAAGGCAAATATAAAGTTAAAGTAATTTAATCCAGTTTTTAAAACCAAATATTAACTCTTATAGGCAAGCGTCAATGTTGTTGATGTATCTGGAGGTTGTGGTGCAATGTTTGAAGTATTTGTGGAAGATAAGGAATTTGAAGGCTTATCCACTTTAAAACAGCATAAATTGATAACACAAACGTTAAAAGAGCAAATAAAAAATATGCACGGTGTCCGCATTCATACATCAATACCGAAAGCCAAATAATGCAACTATAAATTAAATCTCTACGCCATGATTGAAGCAAACAAGTTGTTATGTAGTTTTAAGCTGCTTTCAGGAACCTTAGTGAATAAACGAGAATCGAGCAGGGTGTACGAAATATATTTGAAAATAATTTGTATAGAAATGTTAACAAGTTGAAAGCACAATAATTATTAAAATAAATTGGTTCTCAAATATAATTTTTTTTTATATTGGTACAACATTGATTTAAAATTGGTGTCGGCTTAGCTCTGTTCCCTGGAAAACGGAATCTACATCGGAAATTATCTAAACTTTGCCCATTGTTAAAGGGCACGCCTAGTGTGAAATATTGAAAAAAAAAAATATTGCGCTAGTTTATATTATTAAAAATAACATACTAAAATGTTAATCCATATCACAAATAGTTTTTGAGTTGCAGCCATTTAAAGAGTAGCCTCTCGGTTCAATCGTCTTTCCGACGAGTTTTATGTAATTGCTTATCGCACTTGCATCGCCCTGTTACGTTTTATAACAGTAAATATTCCGCATGGGGAACAATCACAAAGCATTTATTGACGCTAATTGTATATATGTGGTGAAACATATTGCATTTTTGCATTTGTAATTTTAATCAAGTGAAGTAATTTAGAAGATTTGTAAATAAACTAACTATTGCATATAAAAGTTCAAGTTAAAAAGCAATTTGTTAGTTTAAAATTTGCCATGTAATGAAGTTGAGTGTATTTAGTTATTTTCGATATTCCTCGTGCTAGCGTTTGGTATACAATAGTCAAGTACCTACTTTGTTTAAAACTGACAAGAAAGATTTAATTAGCTTTCAATAATAGCAGTGCAATAAACTTTATTGTCGGTCAAGTAGGCTGGCCAGTCTCGTTTGAGACTCACGGTATATAAGATTTTAAAATAATGCGAGAATTTAAAGTGGTTGTGTTGGGTTCGGGCGGTGTCGGCAAGTCTGCCCTTACTGTTCAATTCGTTTCCGGGTGCTTTATTGAAAAGTACGATCCCACCATTGAAGACTTCTACCGAAAAGAAATAGAGGTAAGTGTATAAGTTACAGAATTATCATAATACATATATAATATATGTTTACAATGCCTTTTGTAACATATGCAAGGTATATCATTAAATGACTAATAATATAATTATATAAAAAAGTAAGTTCCTATTAACATAAACTTTTATTATATTTACTTGATAAATACATAAAATGGTTTCTATCTCTATTGAAATAAACTAATGGTGAAAAAAGTTACTTACAGTTGATGCATAATGCTTAAAAAACGACTCCGACATTAATACAGATAATAATTTATAGAAATTTATTTTTATAATTCTTATTTGACTATCAAGGCAAATGTATATAACTCTGAAACCTGTGTCTTCTCACTAACTTTTTTGAAGAGGCTTTTAAATTATATCCTATATTACTTGCTTGAATTTAAAAAAATATGTTATATATATCACGGATAGTCAACAAGTTCATCTAAAATTACACTTTTAATGTTTTTGTATAATTTCTCATAAGTAGTTTATGAAATTTTAATATTTGCGCAGTTCCTCGAATTTCGCCACATTAATACGAGCTACGGTTTTTTTTTTAATTTCATTTCGATGACAGATAACAAATAAAATTCCTTTAAAGTTATTTTACCAATGATATATATACATATTTTTTCTCAGTTGATATTAATTACACAGTTCAATTGGTATGTTTTTCTTGAAATTAGTCAACCTATATCTTAAACTTCATACAAACCACTGTTTCAACTTTCAGGCTATAAAGTTAATAAGAACAAGGAAATACTGGGTGAAATGACCAAGTCCTTCGGAATATTTTTACCTATAATAAAATACGCCAAAAATTTTAATTTTAAAATTATTTAATAAACTTACTTAAAAATATCAATTTTATAATAATTCAGGTAGACAATTCACCGTGCGTACTGGAAATATTAGATACCGCTGGTACAGAACAGTTTGCATCAATGAGGGACTTATATATAAAAAATGGACATGGATTTATTGTAATGTATTCGTTGACAAACCATCAAACTTTTCAGGTAAATTGGATTATCGAAATAATACTATGGACAGTATAAAAAACGTATTATAACTAAAAAAAAACTCCCTTCATTTCAGGATATATCAAGCATGAAAAATGTCATAACAAGAGTTAAGGGAAGTCAACCGGCCCCAATTTTACTAGTCGCAAATAAAATTGATTTAGATTGTCAAAGAGAAGTTTCTACTGAGGAAGGTACTGAATTTAGATGTAATTATATATTGATTTATTTATGTATATTACATATTTATTATTAGGAAACGCTCTCGCTCGACAATGGGACTGTCCGTTTATTGAAGCATCCGCAAAAGATAGAATAAACGTAAATGAAGTGTTTGCAACTATAGTACGTGAAATGAATATGACACAGGAAAAACGCCAGAAAAAAAGTTACTGTTGTTGTACACTTTTATAGAAATATTAAAAAACGTATTAATATAAAATTAGCTCAAAAGTGTACGAGTAATTGTATTATTTTACTTTAATATATTTTGCTCTTAACTCACACTGATTTTCCAAGGCCATGCAAATATACGTATATGAAGGTTATTTGTATTACATTAACGAAAGACTGGAAATTCTTTAAAATAATATAAACCACTTAAATATCAACAGTGACTACCAGAGTCATGATTGGAAAAGAGTTGAAAAAGTGTATGCGAAGAATAGAATCTAAATTTGATAAGAGAATAATAAAATTTGAAAATTAAGGGAAATAATTCAATTATGACTATACTTTCTTAAATAAACCCCAAATATTTGTACCTATGTATATAAAGCTCATTATATAGGAAAACTCTTATGAAAGACAATAAGATTTGGTCGAATTACATTTTAGTCCATATAACAAGATCACCTCGCTATCATTTAGATCTAACGACAACAACTGTTGAGTAAAGGCATCCACTATAATTCTTGGATGTGTACTTGCAGAGAAGGCCAAATCCGTAAAATGGACGAAGTGTAAAGACTGGAGCGCCTTCGAATGCAGCTCCTATCCAACTATCACGAATTTATAGCAACTTAAAGAATGACCTAACATGTGCCACTCCCACAGTAGTCGGGTCTACGTAACGGGAACTGACCCGAACTTTTTATCTGGGAAAGAACTACAGTATTTATCAAAATGATTTGTAAAAGTTAGTCAATTCATACTTATATATTGTATCTCGCCATAGGGAAAGAGTTATTACAGTTATCTCATAATGCCTCCAAATTATGGAATTTTTAGAATATTAAACTTAACTTGAGACTATGTGTGTCACTAATCGCTTTTTTTTCAAGTTTTACTAAAGTGAACTCATCAGGTTATACCGCACGTTGATAACAGTTATTTGGAAACCAAAAGGCGAATACACCGAATATTTTAATGATAGTAGCTGATATCCTCCGTACGTCAACGGATATGGACAAATATATATACGTAGACGCTGTTTGTGCGAAAGAAAATTGTAGAGTTCCCAATAATTTATGAACTTTTCAGGTGATGGTAAATTTTTGACCGTAAATTATCTTATGCTAAGAGCAATATTCACATCCAGCGAAAACGAATGGATGATTTCAACTGAGATACTTCAAGTCTTTCTGAAACATAAACGATAAATAAAAATGCAGTTCATTAGTATTTTAAATATCATTACGCATGCTATGTTATCAATTTTATTGTTTTGATGGTTCGTTTATAGATATATCAAACTTTTTGGACGTAACAGCAGTCAACTTTCAGTTGTTTCTGACTTAAAGAGATCAATATGTCGTCATCTAAATTGCAAAACAAGGTATCATCAAAAATCCGAAATTGAGTTTTTTTTTGGTATTGATTGCGGTATCATATTAAAAAGTATGTATACATATATAAAAATTGTTCAGTTTCTGCTAACAGATATAACCAATTAATAACCAAAATTCAAATTTATTATATTATTACACACCAGTCGAGAAAGGTTTAAGTAATCGAAATAACAGCCCTTGAGCAGATGAAATCCGGATCAATTCCGTAACGTATCACGAGTTGTTTTGCGAATTTTTTCTATTTAATATCGTTTCACTCTCCTGTAAACTTGTGAAACTTATACTATGCATTTCAGATGGAGTATGTATGTAATATATCTCCATTTAAAATAATTTAAAGACATTTCTTCGAAAATTACATTTTTTAACATATTTGTATAGGTTTAAGTTAGTACGGTCTTTCGTTTAGTCATAGGAAAATTGTTCACAAATGGATATATATATATATATTTATATTTATTAAGATTTTTATATGTGCGTATGTATGCACATATATACATACGTAATTATAATATTGCAGTACCCGCAGATATCCAAAACATTTCTTCTTATAGGTAACTAGGAATAATATCATGGCAACAGGCTCTGCAAGTAAAATAATTTAATTTTCCATGACAACAGCGTAAAATTAATTTATGGGAATTTATGTACATGCTTTACAGGTAGCAAAGAATTTGCAAGTGATTAATTTGAGAAAGTATTTACGATGTTACAGTTCAAAATAAAAAAATCCTTTACTTTTTCCGTTAAAGTATTCGTTACTTTAAGTGTATATATTTTGCTTTTTCTAAATCACATTAATTGCTTAGAAGCTCCGCAAATAACTCTTCCTGGACAGGGCATAATATCTGGCACTTATTTAAAAATGTTTCGGGCACAAAATATTAAAGCATATTTAGGAATAAGATATGCACGCGCCTTACGTTTTTCACCACCAGAATTAGATATGTCTGAATGGCAAGGAGTTCTCAACGCAACAAGATTTGCTCCTTTTTGCTGGCAAAATCCTTCCAATGTTAAAAGCACAATATTGCATAACCTTCTTAGAAATAAAGTCGCTGGAGAGCAGGATATTACCTATGATGAAGATTGTTTGAATTTAAATATTTTTGTTCCAGATGGTAAGAGTTTCACACAGCTACATATGTACATACATACGTATGTACCATATATGCATACGCTTATAACATATTACACAAAACTCATATACACATATATTATTTTTGTTTTTAATGGAAACCTATTTCAAGGATCTCCTGGTGTTAAAGGATATGCTGTAATATTTTGGATACATCCTGGAGATTTTTCAAGTGGATCCCCAATAGACATTGAACCCTTCCAGATCGTGTTTAAACAAAAAATAATAGTTGTGACGTTTTCATACCGCTTAAATATTTTTGGTTTTCTATCAACTGCGGACGGTGAAGCCCAAGGTAACTTCGGATTAATGGATCAGTCTGCTGCGCTATTTTGGGTAAAAAAAAATATCAATCATTTTGGAGGAAATGAAAATAAAATAACAATCATGGGACACTCTGCGGGTGCAGTTAGTGTCGGATTGCACTTAATATCTGAAGAATGGTCAAAAGGTGGTTATTCAGGCGCAATTATGATGTCCGGAAATCCAATAACTGACAAAGTCGTGCGCGATCCGACAGCTTATAGCGAATCCTTGGACTCAATATCAACACTATTTGGCTGTAATAGAAGACCAACGTCGATGCTATTAACGTGTTTGAGAAAAGTGGATGCAAAAACACTAATTACAAATCTTCCAGCAGTGGAATGGGGGCCTGTAATTGATTATGGGCTTAGCAATACATCAGCTCATTTCATTAAAGACTATCCTAAAAAAATATTCAAAGAAGGAAACTTTCAAAATGTTCCAATTTTAATTGGCGTAACCAATATGGAGGACATTTTTAGTTTGGTTGATGATATAACAAATCCCAAGTTAAATGGTCATGACTTTTTTCATGTTATTGATGAAATATCTAAACATGACCTTAAAGTCAATACTGAAAGTGATGAAAACTGTACAAATTCTCAAATAATAATCGACGCAGTAACGTATATGTATCCAACACAAAGGGAAGGAGTTGACATTCTTAAACAACTTACAAATTTCCATACGGACCGTATGTATATCGCACCGTTATTTTTTATGGCAGATATATTAAGCAAAGGAAATAAGGTGTTTGCGTATTTATTTAGTGTTCGTCCTCAAACTCAATTTATTGACCTGCCCGAATGGGTGGGTGTACCTAAGTTTTTTGATCAGATATTTGTGTGGGGCGTTCCCTATATGAACAATACCAGCATTCTGAAAGAATGGAATTCAAGCGACAAAAAAATATCGGATGTCGTGATGACAATGTGGGCGAACTTCGCAAAATCTGCGGACCCTATTATTTCAAATGTATATGTCAAATGGAATTCTTTTAAAGCTGAAAACAATACTGTTTTAATAATAAATCAGAACTTTAATTCAGAACTGGTAAATAATATGCTTACCGTAAGATTTTGGAACAATTATTATCCAAGTTTAGTGAAGTTTGCCGCTAATTGCTGTGAAGTTGCAAATACTGCAACTTCATTTTTTGTTAACGATAGACATTCAATGACTTATTCATTCAATCTCGGCATAATTTCCGGGCTTATAGTTGTTAATATTTGTCTAATGAAATACATACATATGTAGAATGTGTACATGTTATCTGCTATAATTGTATAATACAAAAATAGTAAATATTTATTTATATGCCTTCATAATGATTAATAAACATAGCAAATTAAATATAACAACATGTATTAACAAATAGAGCAATTTAATAACATATCACAATAAAAACAGTTTTTATGTAAATAAGAATATGTACCAGAATATTTTTATATTAAAAAAATATTTACATTCATTCTACCTCTCTTACGTATAAGCTTACACAAATTAAAAACTGTATTATTATAAACTAATAAAATGATAGTATATTATTTAATTCAGTTTTATATATAAGACTGTGCTCGATAAGAAAATCATCAATCTATATCAAGAGTGTGAGCAAAGAACGTAAAGAACATAAAGAATGAATAAAGCGAGTTTGCTTGTTGGAAGTGCGCTGCCGTTCATGAATGAAAATATTGTTGTTGTGTGATTTACTACAAATTTAGGATTTGTCAATTTGGCTCCCATATTGATTTCTGATGCTGCTCATACTATTTAAGACAATTGTTGTTTTTGTACAACTATGTACTTTTTTATTGGCTGACATACTTACAATTGTTCGCATATACATATGTAAGTATTTATGCGCGAGTAGATTTGTGTATGCATTACTTATTATGCAATGTCATCACACATACATACATGTAGAGCAGTCCGCGCACATGTATTAATTAATAAGTTATAACAGAGAAGGTAAAACAATATATTGTATTAATCATCCTTGGCAGAGCAACATCGTGTTGTTGTTAAAAAAATTAATTCTCACAAAACGTTGAAAAAACTAAAAAAAACCTAATGACAACTTTACCGACAAACATACATTCATACAAACTCATAAACATATTAACGCCGAATTTTGCGCATCGTCGCGGTGTTGCAACAATGTCGGCTATGTTGTCATATTTGTCCTTTTTGTAGTGCTTGGTTGTAGGTAAATGATTTATGCTGCTTTTGAAGTGATATAATTCGAAAACTATGAAATAATGAGAATAGCATATAAAAGCACTATACAGAGTGTAATTAGAACATATTACACATGAGTGATAATTGTACAGAAATTGTAAAATTTAATGACATATACCATATAGTACATAATATGAATAAAAAAATAAAATAATATTTTAAGTCGCTAATAAGCCATGTTGCCAATTCGCCTTTCTGAAAGGAACATCAGACAAATTCTTCAATTTCTGATTTTTAGCATTGCCGTTAAGAAGCAGCTTATGGGCAAAATGCGGGGATGGCAGGATTTTCAGTGGTGGCTGTAGGAATTCCATATGAAAACCAAATGATATTGACCAGGCGCACAGAAAAAAAGAGTGCAGAGTTACTGCACTTTCTTTTGTAGCATACGCGCGTTCCTTATGATTGAATTTGTTGTGGTTGTAGCTTGCTCGAATCTTATTGGTCAGTAATGGTCCATCTGCGTTTTTTATTTGTCGCTTGCGCGAATGTTTAATTTTTTACCAATGGCATATTAAGGGACATACTTATTTACATACGTATGTATATGCAAATATATTTATACAAATTGGTCATTTGAAACAAGTAGACGACGATAGCTGCTTAAGTTTACATATTAGACTCTCCTATTCAGATAGTATCTGTGGTGCTGTTTATACATATAAATATATTTTTCCTTCTATAAATCTTTTTAATTAATTTTATTTTAACGTTTCAGATTGAGAATTTAAAAAAGTGCATTCGCTTCTGCTAAAATCAAAACAATGTTAATATTTCCGGGTAGAATTCGCTCCTTGTGAGGAGAATTCCTCGATTGAAATTTTACAATTGTTCTCTGTCGAAATTGCACCTTCTCGTTCTTTTACGTTCTCTGGTAAAATACCCAAAATCATCAGAATGTAATCAAGAAAGTCTTGGGAAATTCATAAAAGAGGTGGGCAACACCGCAAAGTAAATTTGCAAACCTGAGACTTCGTTCCATTTCCAAAATTATTTGTTTGCATGCAAAGTCGATTATGTAGTTATCGGTAACGAGATCTTCTGTAGTGTGCTTTGTATACATAAATGTATTATTCTCAATTTAATTTCATTTAACATGGATTTCATAGATGATTTTATAGAGGAATATAAGAAAAACCCATGCCTTTGGAAAGCTGACTGTACAAATTTTAAGAACCGTACAAAGCGACAAGAGGCATATTTGAAATTAATAGAAGTAGCCGCAAAGCACGGAGAGCACTACAATATTGAACGAACGAAGCAAAAAATTAATAACTTGAGATGCGCGTTTCGACAACAATTGAAGAAAATCGTAGAGTCTAAGAATAAAGGAGAGAAAGATGAGCCCTACTGTCCAAAACGCAGATATTTTGAATCTTTAATGTTTTTAAAAGATGAGGAAAATTTGGAGAGGAAAACAAAGCGTTGTGGAGTTATAGGACCGTCGAATGGTGAAGAAATCGAAACAAGCACTATAGAGCAAGATTGCATCGTTGAAGGGATAATGGAATCGCATGTAGTTAGAAACAAATTGACTCAAAATATTTGTTCTTCAGATAGCACAGAGGTGGATCAGACTACAAAACAATTAACGCAAAATGAAATTTTAGAAGAACAGACAATAGAAGAGACTTTTACAGAATACAGTGACGATGTATACAATAAAATAAATGATTTAATGCCTCCGGAAAGAGGATTGAAAGATCAAAAATCTTACGAAAGTGAAAAAGAAACGTGTTTCCTGCCAGAATCAAATAACTCCCGAAAAAGATCTTCATCTACTTCTTCGCAATTATCAAAGGAAATAGAACCTGCCAACAAAAGAATGTACAAATTGGAGACATCTTCAATAGATCTTGAAAAAATTTTGTCTCTTGCTTGTAAAAGTCATAATAGTAATATAGATGACCATTTCTCGAATTTTGGAAAGGTCATTGCACACAAACTTCGAACGATGGACAATTCTCAAGCTATTTATGCTGAAAAAATTATCACAGATGTTTTGTTTCACGGGCAAATGAAAATGTTAACTGTATCAAGCATAAAACAATTTTTGAATCTTAATTTCTCAGATTTGTGCGAATCTGTCCGATGTAATAAATAAACTCGTTAAGTATTTGCTATTGTAAAAGCAAATGAAATACAAATTATTTATTGTATATCTATAAATCGGGGTCTGATAATTTGACAGCTCATTTATTTTTCTTTTTATTCAAAATTAAATGTACAATACACTTACTTCAATTCAATTTTGTTATAAAGATATATTTATTTTCCAACTATTCTTAAAATTTAACATCAGTTGATTACCGCTGAAATTATGTGGATAAAACTTGTATAATCCAAAAGGACGAAACGTTCGATACTTTGTTATAAATATATATTTCAGGCTCTTCTAAATTTTAATTTATTTTATACCAGTCCAAAGTATCAGGCTTCGTTGCAGATGCATTCAACATGCTGTGAACATCACTGAACATTTCATTGCAAATATTATCTTCAAGCTAAAATCAATAAAAAAATCCACCTTATTAATTTATATATGCCAGTTTGCATTATACGTCACCTGTAGTGAAGATACAAGATTATCTGGGCAATCTATGCCACTTAAGGCATTTAGGCTACCTGATTCTAAAAAAAATCATATTGATCATTATAAATAAAGTACTAATTAAATATGGAGTAATTTTTCATAGAAAATGTATAGAAATGTGAAATTTCTTGAATGAACTTCAAATATTTTCAAATGTCGATAAACGCAAAAATCTAGACAAAAGTATTTTCTGTGACAAAATCTCGATGTCACAAATTTAGATACAAGTTAAATAATTACCACTTATACAATCCATACTATCATCAATATTCGGCATCAAATCCGCTGTGGTGGAAAACGTATTTGAAGACAAACTCAAACCGCTATCACTTGATTCCTGCCGTGCATGATTGTCACCGGATAAAAATGGGTCCATTTGAAGACTGCCATTTTGTCTAGTCAAAGAACTCTATTAAAAAAAAAAAAAGAATAAAAAATATGTAGTTGAATTCTATATGGAACTAACCTGCTCAGAACTTGGTTTAAAATAATCCTGCTCCTTTTCGATATGTTGGATGTTCAGCCAAGATGGACCGGGCTTTTGCGATTTCACCGGTTTTTGCAAAAAATCGGCTGTAATTGTAAATTTTTTAATAACTTTTTCGCTGACTGAACATACTTAATTTTTGGATGTTTTATATGTTTAAATTAAACAGACATCGTAATTTCTATTACTTACGTATTCGGGGATCATTCCACGAGGTTGTTCGATTTACGTGGTTAATAAAATAAACATCTCCAGATTCTGTGTAAGCTTGTTCCCATCCCTCTGGAAGAGGACCCAAGTTATCAGCTAAATTAACAGATTCTTTGCTCTTTAAATTAACTAAAAAGAGAAGTTATTCTTTGTTGGAGATAAAATTCGATAGAACTAACCATTATGAGAAAGACCATCTTGAAATATCTGCTGCTTCAACTGAATTCTCGGATCTTCCCATTGCGTTGATTTTGTAGTATGGCTATAATTATAAAAATTATAAGTAGCCTTTTTGATTTATAATTAAAATAATGCCATTTTAGTTTGTAAGTTTTAAACTACGTAAAGCATGCACATAACTCAACAGAAAGAAGCCCTTCCAAAAAAAAAAGAATATAAGCAATATTGAGTGTTTTTAAGGAGGTAAGTTTAAATAACCATATAAATAAATTGAATTTTTAAATAAAATACATTTAGCATTTATATGTATGTATGCATATACTAAGTGTAATCATTAAAAAAGTAATTTTACGAATTTATTTCTTTTTAGTTAATCATAAAAATTAAGGCTTACGATTGTATACAATGTGAATTTATACAAGTTAAACGCCATAAAACAATCAAATGTCTTAAATGTTAAAAAAAATTGCAATCGTTTAACGTACATCAACAAGTGTTTCTAACAACATAATAAAGTAAACACGTTCTCAGACGGTTAAGCAAATTAATATTTTTTAATAAAATAGGTAGTTGTTTGATTTAACAATTTATCTAAAGAAAATTCAGTATTTGAGAGATTTACGTATTTCTACATATTAAAATCTTATGAAAATAAAATTAAGTTAATTTATATCCGAAATGGTCAAATCACAGAAATGTAGATGTAAATTCTTTTTAATTTATTTATACTTACTTTAAATAATAAATTTGACCATCATTAGTCTTAGCTTGTTCCCATCCCGGAGGCAATGGTCCTAGTTCATTTTGTAATTGTATAGTACTGACAACATCATAAGATCTTTGTTTCATATGAAATGTCTGAATTGTATTTGGGGCATCCTTAGGCACTGGCTGATCTCCTTGCTCCATTCGGACTGCTGAACCAGCATTAACGCCAGGAGGAAATGGGACGGCTCCTGTAGTAAAAACAGGTCCTATTCCATCCTGAATGCATGCACTCGTTTCCATTACATTTCCTATATGTACATTGTATGTTTGTTGAAGCGAAGCTGGGCTACTATGCGCACGCGAATGAGAAATTGAGAGTCTATTCGCTGTTACTTGTGGTTGCGTTATTGTCGCTGGAACTGCGGCAACAGAGCTCGTTGATATATTCCCTTGGCTAACATTCGGTTGTGAGCCAGTGTCGTAAGCAGAATCAGCACTATTTGCTCGTGAATGTGCAACGGAAGGCGATCGAGATGCAGTTGCAGGTGGTTTAAAGAAGGACTCTGGGAGCTGACGCATTCGGAAAGGCACTTGAAGTGGACATTTTGACTCTGTCGGATTTAATACGCTATCAAATAATGCTTGCAAATTATTATCGGAATCTTGATCTATACGAACAACTAAGTTATTCGACTCTTTAGATGTAGATTTTTCTTTTGCATTGCCTTTATTAAGACTGCCCACTGTTTTGCTTAAAGACATTTTTATTGCAAACGACAAAAAAAAATATCCACTGGTAATTTATCAAGCAACACAATTCTGTGTTGTGCATGTACCAATTGAGAATCTTAAAATGGCGGTTGTATGGTTTATTCCAACCTTAGCTTGCTGCCATCGTATACAACGAAACGCAATTATTCGTCTACTATTTGAATTATCGTTCTTCAACTTTTGCAATATTCAACTTGAAAATACACTGGAGTACACTTTTCTTCCTATTTTTTAATTACTTATTGAACTTTTAGCAAAAAAAATTGACAAACTATTAAGAGTATAGCATATTATATCGTATAGAGTTACCAACATTCTGTTTTTCAGATTACCTACGATCTTGACTTCCTGTTGCTGAAACTTGAAGCAGTGTTCTCAATTTAATATGCTTTGTTCATTTATGACTTTAATTATAAGTTCTTGTACCGAATTAGATTAATTCTCAAACACAAACCGAAATTGAAGTTTATTTAATTGGTAGGTGTGAAATTACACTCTCATACTAGAGGAATAATTGTTTCTTGAAATTATGTAAATTCAGTGCCATATCCCAAAATCGGATTAATTAATTTAAATTCAGAGGAATTTACGAAGGAACATCAATCTTTTTTGCCCTTTGTTACCAAAATTATCTTAAATGAAACTACTAATTTTTATGGCACAACTCTTTATGGGTCTCCCTCTAGCTAGAAGGAGAAAATATGCATCCTCATAGGATAAAAACTCTGTTTTACATCTACTACAACAATTTCGCTAAATGTGCTTAACAAAGTTGTTTTGAAGTATTTTGATTAGACATGTTACACAACAAATTTGTGTAATACGTCATACAGATGTATTTTATGTTCGTCCTTTAATGAGTAAACATGTGTCGGAATCAAGCGGCTAATTAAATTCTCTTTTTTATAATTCTCATATAAATTATTAAGCCATGTATGTCGCATATGGCCACTTTTCATGCTAAAACCACATAATATGAATTTAATATCTCATACCAATATTATAAATGAAAATACAATTTTTTTTGATTGATTTTAAGAACTGAGCAATATATTATTGTATAATTTTTTGTAGAAAACGTAAAGCGGTTTTTTTCTTTATTTTTGGCTAAAAGAAGCAGTTCTCCATCACAGAAAAATACGAAACATTAGAACGATTGCCTGTGTTAGCAATTAATCAATACCCTACTCGCCAGCGTTAAAAAATGGGAAGCAGAGATTCCAAACACGGTTAAATCGTCGAAATGATAGTCAGACAGACAATTAAGTTCGGATCAATTTCGGTATCACAGAACCAGCTGTTATAGCAATAGTATTTCACTTGTTGGTTGCGTAAGCAAACGTAATCTATGTAATATATATCATGATAACTTGTGTATGTGCCACAGTAGCATTTACTACTGTGTGCATTCAAACTACTTGGTTTGAAGAATTGATCGGCTACCGATAGATATTCAAAAAATGTATCGACTTCAACAATTTTTTTATATTATTATTACATCCCTATCGATTAGTGCAAGTTGTTTGAGAATGGCATGGTCTTTTAGTAGATATGCTAAAAATTTTGCTGTAATTGGGATAACCATTTTTATATTGGATTACATTGGAATCTTCAAACATTATCACGAGTTAGATTATGAGCGATATTTTGATTACCCAACTGGTCTACCCAGTGATTATAATTATACATTTATCCATAACCCTTCAGAAAAATGCAGAATACCACCCAAGTTAATAATAATTGTAAAGTCTGCTGCTGAAAACGTTTATCGGCGTGATATTATTCGTCGCACTTGGGGTTATGAGCACCGCTTCTCTGATGTGGAAATAAGATGTGTATTTTTACTTGGGGTTAGTGAAGATGAGAAAATTAATAGTATTTCAAAAAATGAGTCTTCGAAATTTAATGATATAGTTCAGATTGACTTCATTGATGCTTATTTTAACAATACCATAAAAACGTTTATGGGTATGAAATGGGCTCTTAGCTTTTGCAATAGTGAGTTTTTCTTTTTTGTGGATGATGACTATTATGTGTCAATAAAAAATTTGTTAAAATATATTTCCAATCCTGACTTGTATCCGAAAGCTGTTACGAACAGTCGCATCACAGAAAATGAAAAAAATGAATTATTTTCTGGCTTTGTATTGCAAACACCACCTCATAGACATAAATTCAGTAAGTGGTACGTATCTCTAAGAGAATATCCGTTTGATTTGTGGCCTCCCTATATAACTGCAGGTGCGTTTGTCTTAAAACGAAATACTCTATTTAAGTTGTTTAGTGCTAGCAGCCATTTGAAAAAATTTAGGTTCGATGATATTTTCTTAGGAATAGCAGCACTAAAAGCTAATTTAACTCTTAAACACTGTGAAATGTTTTATTTCAATAAGCCAAAATACAAAGGAACCGCAAGTTTCCAATACATTGTTGCATCCCATGGATTTCAAAATAGCAAGGAATTGGAAACCATTTGGAATGAATGCCGATCAGCTGGTTTTGCATGACTAATATGCAAGCCTTAAATATAAATATTATCAATATGTTGCAGTAGTGTGTTTTGTATGTATGTTAGTAAATAGGTATTTTTTATATATTTTTTTGAGACTTGCAAATAAAAATATTAATTGATACACACTGGTTTTCATTCTCATATCAGCTAGTATATTCAAATTAAAAAAAAAAATATATATATATATATAACTTATTAATATGTAAGTATAGTAAAAATTAATAATTAATTAATAATAAACTTATTTAATACGAATATAAATATGAAATTTTATAGGATACCGCTAAAATATCCAAATGTTCGAACTGGATTTAATGATGTATGCGTCACACTCTAATTCATTTCGATAATTGTTAGCATAACAAATAAGAGTTATCACTCCATCATCAGCCTCGGTCTGATTTGATTCTCTAAATAGTACAATTCCATATTTATACTACTCTACTTATCTACTTAAATTTCGTGAGTTGCATCAATTCGATAGTGAGTAGTGAAATTGGATAATAAAGAAATTGAAGATGCATTTAATAATACATATACATAAATAAAAAATAAAAACAGTTGATCACTTAAGAAGCCAACTGAGTACTAAAACTTAAAACAAGTGAATCACGTTATTTCTCGAGACATTTATTTTTTGGAAGTAAAACAAAAAAGTGTCTTTTGTACCGTACATATCTGTTCCTGCCAGTTTAATACGCTTTGGTTTCTTCCCTAACTTTTAGATTTTAAATAACGAAACAAATATTCAAAATGTTTAAAAATTTTATATTTTTTAAATGCTCATCTTCATTATGGTTATTGCATTTCAAATCAATAATTTAATACACTAATATTAATATAACACAAACTTTGGGCGAATGTTTATTTATTTTTTACAGTGTTATATCTTTTTTTAATTCTCTTTTAAAATATTTATACTTAGTTGCGCTATGACAATATTTCTTACAAATGTTCTTCTTTGTCGGTGAATTAACGTTCCCGGTATTTAATCATATTTACAAGCATTAATCCGACACCACTTTACTTTTGATACATAACTATATGTATAACAATATAAAATTAAAAATGAAAGCGTATTATATCTAATACCAGCGAATGTATTTTTATGCAAATCAACATTATATTAGAAGTGGGATATATAAACAAAACGTTTGAAATCGTTAATCACCTTTCAAACGTTTGGCAAATTCGACTTGTTGCAATTCCCTCCATTCCTTCTTTGGCTTCATTCTTTTTAATTGCCCATCCCAAACTAAATCTACTAGTCCGCCTTGTTTAGCAATAACACTTTTGACACGATTTGCAAAATCTATAGCCGACTCGCCTTCTTGCCTATACATAGGTGGCAAATACCAAACATCACAAACGATTGCCCAAGAAGTCATCATCATATATAAATATTGCATCATCGAGTACTTTGAGCTATTCCAAAATGCATCTCCAAAACGTGGATCGTATCTGCAAGTGGTAATTAATATAAAATATTTTGTAAATATATGACATTCGAAAACCAGGTTCAATATCAATTTAAATACTTACTTAATTGCTACGGGATAAATAACTCCCCCCACTTCGAAACTTCCTTTCTTGAACTGCATAACTGATGTGTTGTTAATACAAGTACCCTCTGGGAATATTAAAATAGGAGGATTATTTGGGTTTGATACATGTTGTTTAAGACGTTCAGCTACTGCATGACGATCCCTGGCTTCTCCCCTTTCAAACCAAATATGGGGGGAAGCCCTTGCTAATGCTCGTTGCAGCAAACCCAAAAATCCACCATGTCGTTGGCCAATCTTGAAAAAAACAAAATTATTTAATCATTTTGAATTTTCAAAAGTTTACACAACCACTTGTATGGAAACAATCAAAGAAATAGCCTATCTGACTTATACTTATATTCATATGTATGGATCTTAGATAATAATTGCATTTAAGTATATGCATATATCTTTTATGAGTATCGATTTTATTTTTCGGTAACAAAAATTATAACTAAAGAGGCAAAATTACAAATGCATAGTACAGAGTTGTAAGTTTTGAAAACAGTACATGAACAAATGTTTGAACGGCAATTAACGGACAAACCCTTTTATGTATTGTACATTGTACATCTAGGTATACATAGTTCCGATTTATTAATTTTGCTAACAACTTTTGTTTTATGGATAATTATTTTGTGATATGTATTATAGTATGCTTAAGTATAATTACATACAAAGGTACATATATATGTTATTTCATAAGAGTTCAGCCTATTTGACACCTCATGCTGGTTCTTAACCTTGAAGATTAATAAGAAATTTATTCAACACTTACCAGAGAATAGGTTTTATCACACATAAGTACTAACACATCAATTGGGCTGGTATGATTTGCTACACAAATCCCATTTGTGGGTCGGTTTTCCACATTATGATAATAAATAACGGCTGAAATTGCACTGGACAGCACCGAAAAGCAATGACCAAGTACTTGGTCTACCATTCGTCGTTTATATTCACCATCTTTAATATATCCAACTATCGCCGTACAAACAGTCAACCAAACTACCTAATGAATTGCACAGAACACAAAAGCCATTTACATTAAAACGCACACAAGCAATTGACGGAACAATTTGACAATGTAAAATATAGTATGTGAATAATAAAAAATTATGAACAACTGAATTATGACATATACAACAAATTGTTGATGATTGTCTTCTCTTAAAACATATAAACCAGCTGGAATAAATGGGTTTTCTCACCAAAGAGAAAGTACAGTCAGTTGAAAGGATAGCAACGTCCAAAGGAGATGTGTGGTTCGCTACACAAAAACCAGAACCTTTTGGTTTGTATTCTGTATTGTGGAATGTAATTACTGCTGATAAAGAACGAGTTATTAGGCGAAAAGTAATTTTAAAAGATAAATCTGCACAAGGATGTCGAAGAAATTCGAAGGGAATCATCGCAACTAGACTGTTAGCAACAACTGCAACATACACCTAAGGATATAGGATATTTTAAGTTAGAGTTGATATAAAAACTATATAAACTGATTTAACATAAGCCATGCTGTATGTATGTGCTTAACACTGAATTTAATGCAAGGACATTAATATCAGAGTTGTTCTGGAATTTTATTTTACTGCTGTTACATGAAGCATTCAAGAAATAGTTTTGAGGAACTCCTCTGAGGTGGCAGTCCTTTTCAATAAAGTAAACCTGCTGTCTTTTGATATTGTATTTATTGTTCATTATTTATTGTCATAGCTATAATTTTATCTAATTGTATTCCATATGTTCTTTTATTTAGTCAGGGCAACGATACAGTTGTTAAATATCAGTGAATGTATCCCACAGATTCTATAAAACTTTCTGATAATATTGGTTTTCATGATTTCGCATTATATTCAAATTATTTGACTTTTTATTAATTGTAATTTTCTTTGGTCAAATAATATGGAACTTAGTGACATTTTGGAAAACAAAAAAGACTGAAAGACTTTTATTTTGTTTTTAAGTCGAAATTTTAGAAGTCGTACCCATAACATAATATTTACTTCAAATGACTAAAAGAATAGACATGATGTAATCGTATATGATTCGAACGTTAATTAATAGTCGTGTTGAGCATTTTCGCATATACATATGTATGTCAAAGTAATCAAAATTACCACCAGTTTTCAATATTTAGAAGGGCCTTTAATAAAAGCATTTTGTTATGGAGACATAATAGGAAAATATAAAATAAACAATTAAAAATTAATATATGAAAATCCTGTGTAAAAACGAAGTATCGATTTCAAGGTTTGTCTATTTTTGAAGTTTTGTGATAAAAAAAATTTTAACCAAATTTTCATTAGGATAAAATGCAAAGGAAAATATCGTTGCATTGATATTTAAAGATATTCCTCATAATCAAAAATGAAAAAATGTATATATCAATTTAATCAATGTTTTACATAGTACCACAGCTTTGTACGACTACAATATTAGTAATCAATTATAAAATTGTTCAGAAACTTACACCAACAAAGCAAACAAAAACTCGTAGCGGCATCAAAATGAAGTAACGAACAGCGAAACCTGTCATCCATATTAATGTTATCTTCCACGATATAAACTCATAGTGGCGATTTGTACGCGTTAACAGATTCCAACTTTTTAATTCCTCCGCTTCAAACCGGGAGGTCACTTCATCTTCGATAATTGATTCAACTCCTGCTTTGATGTAATCTAGGCATTTCTCCAAGTTAAATCGAATTTCTTCCTAGAAATATTAAGATTTTTTAAACTATATATTACCAGTAGCTTATTCTGCATGACAATTCCTTGTGAATAGATAGATAAAAATATACATGCATACATAGATATAAAAAATATATAATGCAATGGGTTATCTTTTAAATGTTTGACTAAAATGGATTATTGATGTTAAATAAAAATTACAAAATGATGTGTGCGACAAAAAAGAAGTTTATAATTTTAATAGATACGTAAATTTTCTAACTTAGTCAAACCTTTTAAATTGCTAAAATTGTTAATAATGAATGAATGTATACGATTTTAATTATACGAATTCTTATACATTAATAGTTGTACTTTAATATTTAATTTATTTGGAATACTTACATCTTTTGAAGAGCTTTCAATGTCAGAAGCGGTAGGCTCATTAGATGTAGGAAGAAGGACGCTATCTCTACTAATCAGTGTATTGCCATTTGTAGTGGGTATAGTTCTTCCAGTTTTTTTGCAATAAGATAAGTTAATGTCATCAAGCTTTCTGTCTTGCGTGTTATTGAAAATCGTTTCACCAACTAGTTTCTGACGCTCTTTTGCAGCAGACTCAATGCTTAGGCGGCCGAACTATAATGTACGCATATTAATCCAAATATAATAAAATTATTCAAGGCAAAATCTATCCGAATTAAATTGTGGCATAAAATTTATCTTGAGTCGTATAAGTTAAAAGTCCATTATTTTTTTCTTAACTAAGTTATCAGTAAAAACGTTATATTGTACCTTGATCGATTCTTATCGTAATTGCTAGTAAATATCTAAACAATTCACAACTTACCTCAAATATCTTTAACAGAAGTTTTACGTATGCTCTGCGTACACCGACAGATTTATTCACAGCAGACAAAATGATCATAAACGAAATAAATACAATAAAAGGAATGCAGAAAAAGTCCAAAATCGCTGCCCAAAACATTTTTCCCTCCTTTAATTCAACCAACAAGATTTAACTCCTGTTAAATACTTTCCAATCGAGATTCAACTTCAACTAAAATCTCGACAATTTATTTCTGTCGAACAGTAAACATCTTGCCAATATCAGTCTTTATAAATTAGAGTGGTGCTGCCGGCCTAACAAAAATTTTTAGTAACCAAAATGACGATAACTGCTAGTATGAATTCATCGTTTTACTTGAGTAAAATGTGAAGAATGGCTGTAATAAATTTGATATACATTGTCATATCAATATATATTATAATTTTGTAGTAGCATCAATTTAATCTATATCCGTAACCAATTTGTCCATTTTCTGGTGTACGATTTGTCAACTAAGAATAAATAAGAAATATACTAAATCCTAAAATGTTTTCCACCATTAGCGGCTGAAAACTCCATAATCGTTAAAAACGATTTCACGTACTTTCTCTTAAAGAATCCGATATTCCAATACAATAATCGAATACTTTTCATATTGATAAAATAATTGATATTTGGAAATTTCGATAACTTCTTTGGTCGAAACCGAAATTAATGTATTTCGTATGCTATATGCGGTGTTAATTCGTTAAAATAAATATATTGATGAAGTATTTGCTCAACTAAATTTGTCTAATGGGCATATATGCAATGTTATATTGCTAAGCTTTTTTAATATCCTACGTCTTGCATTTTGTTTCTATTATGATTAATAGACAGTAGTTTTTGTAGTGAAAAAAGATTTATTGTTCCGCTAACCCAGAATATACTTTCTCAATAATATTGGTCTCCTTTGCCTAACATTTACCTCTTAATAAGCCCATTATCGGTGCTACTAATATCACTTCCCAATAGTTAGTATAAGATTCAAATATTCAGTTGCTGAAATTGGTATTGCTACAAAAGTAAATAAGATTTAAATCTAAGATTTACTATTGACGGAGTGGTCAGCATGTAAAAGATTTTATTTATGGTAATCACATTTTAGACGGGCAGCAAGTTTTGATGTCTTACAATACACCTCAAAATAAATCGATAATAAAATGAAAAATAAATGTATTAATGTAAAAAAAAAATTTATTGGCGAAAATCTATTTTTGTTTCTCAACTCTTCATCCTATACTCTTCAAATTTCTGTTTTTATTACTTCATAAATTATTTTTTGAAGTTATTAAGTTATTGTAGTTAAATGAGTTGATTGAACTTAGCTATAATAGTGTTTATACACTACTATAGTATGTTTTAATTTACTTTTTACGTAAATTCAACAGAAATCTGCAGGTAGATAAAGTCAGACGTTTCAGAGATGTTTACTTGTCCAAAGCAGTATTGGTTTTGAGAGCGATGACACATTCTTCACCACATGATTTAAGGACTGTGCACTGTAACCAAAAATTAACATGAAAAAATTGGTATCAAATTAGTAAAGTAGAGATTCACTTACTAAAAGATCTTTTCCATTATCAAAGTCCGATCTTAAAGAATTTCCAAGGTCGCCCTCTGGTACCTTCAAATCTTCACGTATTTCTCCGTTATCTGACATCAGAGTGAGGAATCCGTCATCACTTATATCAGTCAACTGATAATCCTCCCGTTTGACGTGTGGCACATCCATGTTATGGGTTGAGGGGCAGATATCTTCATATCTGTATTAAAAATATTTGTATTATAAAAGTTATCTTCAATTATCTTAATTCACTTACTTCTTATTTGTAAAAATATCAATGCCAACCATGTGGACTTTAGCATGACCATGTTTGCCAGTTTTAGAGGTAGACATCTCAACTATTTTGCACGGTCGTCCTTTCAACATAACAAATCCGTTCTTGCGTAAAGCCGAACATTGCATCGGATATGTTTGAGAAGCACCAGAATCGCCAGTCTCAAAATGATGATCATCCATTTCGGCCATTTTTCCCAGATATTAGACTACCGCGTACCAAAAAAATATCTGGAATAAAAAAAAAAATACAGAAAAAAAATAAATATTATTCACGTATTTCGACGTTGCAAAAATTTTAACCCCTATTGTGTAAGAAATCACTTGAACATTTACAGCGGTTTCATTACGGTTAATAATGTTTACATTCGATCTTTTGGAAAATAATAAGTCCTCATGTATTAAGTTTACTAATAAAACATAACTGTATATTTATCAAAAACGTATTAATAAACCATTTGCTTGTGCATGTACAATAAACCACAAATTTAGTCAATTATATACAGCGTCGCCGTCAAACAGTATGGCTTTAAATGTTAGTGCTATAATTATGTTCTTAATTTTTTTTAGCGACTTCCAACTACAATTCTATACTCGCTCATTGACGTCAAGTACTCGATGCATAGTCAAAAAAAAATCCTAGCGTACAAAGAAATACCACAATTTAAAGTCCCCATTCGCCTTAGCAACACAAACAAATTTCACTTTTTAGGATTCATTTCCACCTTCAAACGTGATAGCATTTTAAATATTATATTTATACTTTAAACTGCATTAAAAATATCACAAATTTCGAAGAGCCCGATACTCACATGTGATTTAAATGATAGCCTTAAGCAAAGAGAAGAAACGGCACAACCCTGCTCTTGTCCACGAAACACTTGAATGAGTAATCAAGTTAGTGTATCCGGTCAATAAATTGCATTAAAATGGCGCAAACAATGCTTCAGTAATATTCAAGCATGATAGTTCAAGCATCATCTCATACACTCATATAATTTTTCACAATTTTAAGGTTTTCTGCATCGTCAATGTTCGAATTTTATATTTAATAACTTTGCACGACATAACATTATTTATTAATGCTTATTTAAATTTAAATTACATATTTTTTCCCGATCGGTCGATTTCGGTTCATATTTATAATTTTAACTCTTTAAGAAGAAAACATCCAACAGCTGATAAGATTTCATGTCTATTTTGACAAGCTGATCCGAACATGCACTCAAAAATAGTTTTATATTGTGTGCCAATCCCAAATGTTACTATAATTAGACCTTACTGTGCTACTTTTTTTATACAGGACATTATCGAAGCAGTCACAAAAATCTATGAATAATTTACTTTTACAGTTTTGACAGGATTTGACATTGATTAGCAAAAAATTATTTTTAAATAAAATATATCACTATAACTAAAGTTAAATAATCTATGTTTGTCTCTCAGTAAGTAAGGCCGAATCGTTCACCAATCGTTCATTATCGACATCAGATAATATCAAAGAACTCTGCAAAAATATGTGGAGAAGTTCAAAACATTATTAGTTAGGGTTCTCATTTATTTCTGAATAGCTCGTAAATGTTATAGATAAAATTATATGATTTTCTACTAAATACAATAGCTCAAAATGATTTCTCCCTCACATAAAATAATTCTATAACATTCTCAAAAATTCTTAAATTTTATTCAATCTTAGTTCATGATATAATAAAATTTTTATTAACTTAAATTGTTTTGAAAGGAGAATTGAAAGCTTCTAAGCATCGTGAAAATATAGTTTGAGTGTTTTTGGTAATGAGCAAATAATTGATCGTGTAACTGTCATTCAAATTTCAATGTCGTAAGTGCTTGTAGGTCAAATGATTGAAGCGGATTTTGCAACTTTGTCAACAAGAACCCAACTCCCGTCCTTTTACCTCAAGCTTTGTCGTTGGGTGTATGTCTCTTGTTTTTTGTCTAGTATTTATCCATGATTATTATTAAAATCCTTTGATTTCCAGATAGCTTTGTGTGCACAGAACGAACAATGCCGCCAAAATTCGATCCTACGGAGATTAAATTAGGTAATTTATGTTTTTTGATTAAAATCATTAAACTCGTCTAACCTGAACTATTATTTTAGTTTATTTGCGATGCGTTGGAGGTGAAGTGGGAGCTACATCTTCTTTGGCTCCTAAAATAGGTCCACTTGGTTTGGTGAGTTAAATTCGTATATATTGATAATCTCATTCATGACATATTTCTTCTAGTCGCCAAAAAAAGTTGGAGATGATATTGCTAAAGCTACTGGAGATTGGAAGGGACTTAAAATAACAGTCTGTCTAACTATTCAAAACCGTCAGGCTGCTATATCAGTTGTTCCATCAGCAGCTTCTTTGATTATCAAAGCCTTGAAAGAACCTCCCCGTGATAGGAAAAAGCAAAAAAATAGTAAGATTAAAAAAAAAAATTTATTTTTTGTTTATTTATGTTTTTTTTTTTTATTGTTTTTAGTTAAACATAGTGGCAACGTTACCTTTGATGACATTCTTTCGGTAGCGAAAACAATGCGGCCTAGATCTATGGCTCGCAATTTGGAAGGCACTTGCAAAGAAATTTTGGGAACTGCGCAAAGCGTAGGTTGTACCGTAGATGGAAGGCCGCCTCATGACATTATTGATGACATTAATAGTGGCTCTATTGAAATTCCCGCTGAATAAATAAAGTGTCTAATCTACTTTCCAAATTCAGAAGTAAAACTTGTTAATTAATTAATCTGACTGAAATTTGTTAGAATATTACGAATAATAAGTCAGGTGAAGTATAACCTTAGATTAAACGGTATCGTGTTTGCATTGTCAGAACAAAATAAGATAATAAAAAAATATATGTCGACTTGAATACGTTGGATTAATAGTCATTTGAGTTCTGAAACGTGAGCCCATGTTATAGACGCTACTAAGACGTACTCATAATGACCAAAAAATTGTCGCCAACTGATACTGATTATTAATCAATTTCATTTGCAATGTTTACGACACTGGAAAACTATAAACAAGGTATAGGCTTACTATTTATTCATTGGTTCATCCATAAATACAGAAAACATTCACCTATTTATTTACATACATGTGTATTTTAGTGCAATGGTATATATTTTCACATGTATCGTTAAGTATATAAAATTTTCGCCTATAGTGAAAATAACCGGTAATATACTCATATGAAAATATGTATTATAATCCCATAGGCGCGTATAGATGTATTGATAATATAATAAATACAAGGAAATAGTATTCAAATGTTAAATAAATAGAACTATTAAACGTTAGTAGATTACTTCTTTTTGTTTTTGCCCAGAGTCAAAGTATGATGAGAGGTTGAAATTTGGGTTTTGCGACGACTAAATTCCACAAAATCTTCCTCTAGCCTTTTTCGAGAATCCTCTAGTTTTCTTTTTTCTTCAGCATGGTCTCGCTTAAGTTTATCAAACTTTGCATGCAGCTGAAATGAACATCATGTTAACTGTAATATGTATAAAAATTTTTTTAAATTTTATATTCTACCTCTTTTTCACTTTCTTTGAGCTCAGCTTCTTTTTCTTTGACCCTTTGTACAAACATCTGTCTTACTTCTTCTTCTTTGGCTTGTAGTTCAGCTAAATGGTTAGATCGCTTCGCCTCAAAGGTTTGTTGGAATGAAATCTAAAATAATATTATTAATATTAAGAATTTACTAACATTATTTCAACGTACTGGTTTGTTGTCACTATCTACATCGCTAAAGCCCATTTGTTCAAGACGCTTTTGCCTATAAAGTTCATAATGACGTGTATGGGTTTTCTCCCTCATATCTTCCATATTAGTTCGGATTAGCATTTCACGAAGTTTAACAAAATCGCAATGCATTTCATTTTCAACTTGTACGGTTCCCCATGGATATTGACGAGCTCGAATCAACTTGTTTCCCACTTTTATGAAATCAGTACTGCCTACTACAGCGAACGGCACATGAGTATTCATAGTTGTGTTCGTTTCAGCAACAGTTTCATCATCCGTTGGAAACTGATATATGTGAACACCATTATTGGATAATTCTTGCATAATTTTACTTTTGAAACGGTTCAACTCCGATTTAGATATTGTATCAGCCTTTGCAATAATTGGAATGATATTTACTTTGCTATCGAGTTTTTTCATACATACAAGATCTAGGGACTTAAGCCCATGACCTGTTGGGCAAATAAAATACAAGCATACATGAATGCGGCTATCGTGACATGACACCAAAGAACGCTTGATCTTGAGCTCTTCTTGCAAATAGGCCTCGAACTGTGCGTCAATATAGTCAACTACAGCTTTAAATGAGTCGTCCTTATTAATTTGGTCACCATACCCAACAGTGTCGCAAATTGTTAGCTTAAGGCGTACATTACTCTCTTGTAATTCATAAGTATGTGCTTTCAATTTGACGTTCGGTAATGTATGCGGACTTGGTGTAGACTCAAAGCTTGTATTAAAAAGTGTATCCATGAGTGTTGATTTGCCAAGGCCAGTTTCACCTAAAAGATATGTATTTTTTGTTTTAATTATTATCTTTTACATAAAAAATGTATAATATTACCTATGCACATGACGTTGAAAACAAAACCATTTTGAACGCTTTTATTTACCAGTTGATCCGGCAAGCTATCAAATCCCACATGTCCCGATAGTTTCAGTGTTCTTAAATGTGGTTCGTTCTATTGTTAATACATGAAAATTAAATACATTTAAATATATGTGGATGGAAATGAAAAATAAGACAATAAAATCAGTTACTGAAACTTTGTTTTTGTCCGATTTCCATATACCTTTCTTAAAAGATGAAAGAAAATATTAATAGAGACTTTCTACGTTTAGGTAAATATGGGCAAATAATCCATGTTTTCGAGAAAGTTTTATCAACAAAGACATAATTTTGCGTACTATTTTATATAAATATAACACAAACAACAAATTATATGTAGTTTTAGTGGATAATATTTGTAATATTAAACACAATACAATTTACCTTAACGAGGTCAACAGCGACAGACATTTTTACAACTTTGTTTGAAAACTTTTTTGACTCAACTATTATACATATATTGGCATGAAAACAACGCCCTTATGTGCTATTACTGAATTTGTGAAACAAAACAGGGGGTATGTATTTGTAATCACAGAAGTGATTTCTAGAGCACGTATATTTTACGATATGGTATTGTTAATTTAAAGAACTCATGCAAAAAACGAGAATTATAATTATAATAAATAAAATGGACTAAATTGAAAAACGATGAAATAATGGTATGTAAATTGTATAATTGAATGCCATATATTCTAATTCATTATATGAAATAAATTAAAATAATATTTTGAGTCGATAATAGACCATGTTGCACCAGAGAACTTAAAACATGACCATGTTGCACATTCTCCTTTCTGTAGGGAACATTAGACGAATTCTTCAATTTCTGATTTAAATGTGAGACCGTACCAACATATAAATGAACTATGCAACACGCTTTACGTTTTCCGTAGCCGAACCGCACAAACATTTGCGAAAATTTTGTGAAAAGGAATGTTAGAAAAAGTCGACTCGAGTTACCGGCCATCTAGCACGTTCCTTATAATTTATAAATTATGAATGAATTTGGTGTCATTGTAATATAAAATTTTAGAAAGTATGTTCCAAGCTTGCTCGAATCTTATTGGTTAATGATGGTAAGTCTGGGTTTTTTTTTGTCGCTTGCGTGAATGTTGATTTTTTACAAATGGCATATTGAGGGATATAGTATGTACATATGGAGCCAGCTGGCAACCATCTTCTCTCATGACTTTTAAATCACATCTAATCGAGGCACGAGAGTCATCTAAGCACTGGCCAGGCACGGTTCCTCTTTTTCTTTTATAGAGCCAGCGGGAGTCAGCTTCCCCTGAAGTCACCTGGTGACTTCCAAATCAAACCACATCGAGGCGCAAGAGTCACCTAAGCCCTGGCCAGGCATGGTGCCTGCTTTTCTTTTATAGAGCCAGCTGGTAGCCAGCTTCCCGTGAGGTCACCTCATGACTTATAATTTACATCACATCGAAGCACGAGAGTCACCTAAGCACTGGTCTGGCACGGTGCCTTCTTTACTTATATACAGACAGCTTGCCGTGAGGTTACCTCGTGGCTTTTAAATCACATCAGATCACATCGAAGCACGAGAGTCACCTAAGCAATGGCCAGACACGGTGCTTTTTATAGAGTCAGCGGGTAGCCACACAAAATTCTAATATAAAACAACATTAATAGTCAACAAGTATATTTGGACAAACCGTTTTGTAGAGCAAAAACTATAATCTTTAGCTCAAAATTCATAAAAACAAATTACATATAAAACGCTTTTTAAAACAACAGTTTCATACATATTTCATAAAGCGTTTAAAATATTTGTTATTGTTAAGAAAATAAGTACGTATCTAGAGTTTTTTTAAACAAATGTATATAATATCAATCACACTTAATATAGAAATACCAATAAAAAGACCAATGACACCTCCAGCTGAAACTGAATAAAAAGTAAAATATTATAAATAATCTATTCAATATAAAAGTTAATAGCATAAAATGTATTTAGTATTTAGTATTTTTTTTTTTAATTTTGGTATGAGTGGGAATGCAGAGACAGAATTTTAATTTTTTGTGTAGTTTGTAAGGAGTCTATAAGACTCCTTTTGCTAAATGTACTTACCAACCAAATCTTGATAAGATTGAGTAACACTTCTTACACAACGTAGTGGGGGAACATTTTGTATTTCAACCTCGACTAGTGCAAATCTTGGACGAGCTAATTTTTTAATTTCATTAGACCTAGAATTAGAAAAATCAACAAATCATTCGATAAAAATAAATATTCATTTTAAACTATATAAATATATAATATATACATATGTACTTACAATATTTCTAAATCTATTATTTTACTCTTTTCACATATGGTACCTAACAAATTATAATATTCGTTACAGTTATTAATCGATTTGCCTATTTAAAAGCAAAATTATACTCGATGAAATTGATTAGTATGACAATTCAAAATAGCGATAGATTGTCAATCCAAAAGCTTTGTGAGATATCTTCAAAGATAGGTTCACCTAGTGTAATGTAATCGGTTAATATACGTTTAAGCTTTGAAAATATATTTACGTTATACAGATGTATTAGTTAGATTTGGACATTTTTGAAATATAAAATAATTACCGCTCTCTGGAAGAACATACATGTAGTTCAAAGGCAGCTTTTGTTATTAAAAATATATAACGATTTGATTAATCTAGATTTAAAAATGTTTTGCGAATAATAATTTTTGTAACAAAAACGTATAGGTATTAAAGAAAATACTAAAAGTATATATGTATATGGAAATTATAATATTTTTCTTACCCAACAAACTGAAGCTTCTGCTCCGAACACGACGGATAACATACATATTTTTCTCTAGCGATTTGTTTTGCCTTAAAAGTTATATCCTCTTTTTTAATGTCAATAATGGATTAGAAATAAATAGTCGCTTATTCAATAATAATAGGCATTAGTCTATTGTTTTATAAGAGACAACCCACACCGGATGTGCAAAAATTGCTTTTCCTTAAAATTTGGTCGTTATTATTACTCTTAAATCTTCATTGTAATATTTTTCAACATGGCAGGTATTTTTACATAGTAGATATGTGGTGGACAAAATAATACATTTTAATCTTACGATTGACAAACGTGTTTACTAATCCGGCGTGGATTCCCCCTCAAATAAAAACTATGATACATTTATTTATTTACATTTTAATATATAATAGTATTTACCTTTAGATATACATGCCATTCCCCGAAAATCACAGAAATAATTGAAATCTGTGAAAACATAAAAAAATAAAAACTATTATTTACTATCTTTTCCCGCGGCTTTGCTTGCAATAAATCCCGTAAATAAATATCAAAGATCATTTACAAAGCCGAATAACTAATACATAGTTGTACACGAATACTACACTGCATTGATCATGATGGTGGTGGTAACCATTAGTATTTTATACTCTTGCAACTTGTTGCTACAATTTTCGATGACGGGAAGTAAAATATAGTTATACAACTAATTGGGTCTATGACCTTCAATATAAGTTAATACGATACCAAATTTGATTGTAATTTATTCACGATTTCGTCGAATAATAAATAATAAAATCTTTGGCAACGTTTTTTAATATAAAGTTTTGCCAACACCTGAAGGATGTTCCCCGACTTAGATCCTAACAAGTTGCAAGAGTATAAAATGATTGGTTACACCCGAACTTAGCCTTCCTTACTTGTTTGTTTTGTTTTTAAAATGTTTCGTAAATACAAGTCTACCTATAGCTGAGTAAAGAATTCAAATGTTTATAGCCTAAAAAATGTTTGAATTTATGGTAAACATTGTATGAAACTTACATTTTATCGGAGATGTGAATAATGTGCAATTACAGTATTTTAACTCCAAAATTACTCTGAGATCAGACATGCATGATGAAAAACTAAATATTACAAATTTTATGTTAACATCTAATTGTATAAAGCTACGTAATATATTTGATCTTACATATGTAAAATATACAACTCACCTGTAGTGATAAGTGGATCCATAAATTATTTCATGCGGAAACTTGCATTTTCTTTTTTCAAAGCTTTGATCATTTACTGTCAAGCTATTTAGCATTTCTTCCATATTATAAGTATATCTTATATGATCCTTTCCCAAAGTTTGTGAAAGTAATCCGAAGTATGGTATATCCACGTTGCTATGTACGTACATCTATATTTAATTGAATCAGTTCTATATACAATTTTTAAGTATGCTAATTTGCAAACCTCGTATTTCCAAAGTGATTCTTGTTTTAGAAAAAGTTTTAATGATTTCTTCGCTTCAAACGGGCTAAGTCGTAATGGCAATTCATCTAAATTGCGACTATTTTGATTTGATGAACATAATTTAAGATTTGATAAAGATAATTTAAAATTTCAACTTCAATATTATGTAAGTACTACATACATAGATACTCGGACAACCAAAAAATAAAATATTTTCACAGTAGAGGGGTACAGCAACCCCGCCTTATTCCTTGAGCTTTCCATCCGTGTAAGTGGGCAGTAATGGCGATAGTGATTTTATAAAATAGTTTTTATGGAATTTTGTGTCATACGCATCCGAATTAGATCGTCAAAAATATTTCTTCAACTTGACAAGAGGATTTTAACAGTTTATAAATATTATATGATCATTAAAAATTTTAAATTGTTAAGCAAACCAAGCAAAATGTGTGTACACATGCGCATACATGTAACGTGAGCATATAAATAAATTTATTAGGCATATACATATGTACACACATATTTAGTATTGCAAAATATTTCTAGTTTTTTATTGCTAGAGTTTCTATGCATGCTACTGTACGTTGTAGGAACAATGCATACTAATCAATAAAATTATTGGCTAGAAAGCAATAACCCATTTCAAGATCATGAAATTTAAATATTTCAGCGCAGTTGTGTTGTTTAACTTCCAAAAATGTGATATCTGTTATAATGGATTCACAGAATTGTGTAAGTAACTGCAAAAATTAATTTTTAGAAAAATTAAAGGCTTCAATTAATCAAATATTAAAAATAATATTCTTTTTTGTAATATAATGTACTTTAAAAATATGCAGAATATGTATTAAATTTATTTTAGCAATAAAACTCTTGAGCTATTGTAATTTTTTATTTTACTCCATCAGTCAGAAATGAAAGCTGAACTACTCAACTCTTGAACTCTTTTAATAACAGATCTAAAATTGACTTTCCAAGTACATTCATGTTAAAGCTCAAACAATATTTCATTGTTAATTTCTCCGTTTACGTTTTGTTCATGACGTCACGATACACCTTCATAGTTCAGAGATTTATAGTAATTATAATAGTTTTGAACGTTATATGATAGTATTATCCATTTTCTACATACAAATGCACTTATGCAGCTGAATATCGATCCGCCACTTACTTGTTCTCTTGCAATATGAATATTTACTCCACAGGTTGAGTTAAAGCCTCTGCAGTAATCTTCTTTGGTATTAATGTTAGTCGGTGTGATGAATAAATAATTATGAATATTTTTTATGTAATTAATATTCTTTTGGTTCAGAAAGCGCATAATTTCCACATTAGACCGACTCTTAGATAAGCAAATTGATACAGATGGGAACGTAATATTCCAGTGTAGAAATGAAGTTTCGACGCTTATACTTATAGAATCGGAAATATATCTTTTTAACATTAAAATACAAATTACTGTCATATTCCAACAAGATATGCCTATAACAATAATCCAAAATAGTCTGAAAAATCGATCGGTGACACTTAATTATAACATCATATTAACAATGTATATAATGTACCTGGTCGTTGTATAAAGCTGGAGAAATTTTTTATAACAATTTATGATTAAAAACATCATATTTGGTGTTTACAAAATTACTAAAAATTAAATTTTTTTATGGTACATATGTGTATGTATATGTATGTATGTAGGCTTGTGTCTCCTTTCGTAAAGTATCTGTAACTGTAAGTGAAATATTTTTCGTCATTCCTGTGAGCATGTGCATGCGTGTGAAACGTGGTAAACGGAGCCACGCAAGCATAAAAACATATGCATACATGCCCATAAAAATGGTTGGACCATGTGATTTATTTGTGTAATATTGGAGCACTCCATTTGTAATGCAGCTGTAGACTAACTCATGTCTCTGCAACAGCTTTTTATTACACGATCATTGGTTCATGTGTTACCGAAATTTGTCATTTTACGATGTGTAATCGACTTCATGTTAGAAAAATGAAAAATATTTATTTTTCAGCATGAATACCACGTGGCATTGTACAAACTTTCGTTTTCTTTTCCATTCTAATTTTGAATTTCCTGCCCTATCACGTCGAAATGTTAAATGGACCAATACTCATATGTATTTACATACATATACCATCATACGAGGCCACCAGGGACACCTTATACCAGGTTTGTTTCATAATTTCTAACTTGCTGGAAAAGCGTTTCTTAACCCAAAAAAACTACCCCAAACTAGCAGAAGAGAGCACAAGTTGAGAGCGGAAAAAGCTAAGAGTGCTAGCCGAAAATAGCTCTTGCCATATGAAGAAACAACTGTTACAACAAATGTGTAAGAGAGATTTGACGAATTTGCTTTGATTTTGTTTATTTTAATAGTTTCGAGTTATAAAAATTATAATTCTATTGATAAATTTCAAGTGTGGATATGATGTACTTATTGAAAAAAGGCATTTTGATATTTTCTTGCTAATTCCGGCTAGCTTCTCTTTATGAGAGTAACTTCTCAATTCGCTCAGTGTTGCTCTTCCTGATAGCTAGCAGACACTAGCAGTTAAGAAACAAACTTATAACTGAAATGTGGATAATTTTGGAATAATCTATTATCCATGTGGAAAGCTTTTTTTGAATTATGTAAGGTGTACATAATAGTAAGGTGTTTTTTAGAGATTTATATGCTTATTCTTGACCTGACATATAATGTAAAGAAACGTTTTGTATAATTCAAAGTGTGCAGTAGTTGTTCCGTACAAGTAATGCACGTAATCTTGTGATATAGAATATATAATAACATATACATATAAATACAAAACCTGGAATACTTCCGTGATGCGTGTGCGAATATAAAAATATGGACACAAGTAATAACTCAATTTTTTTTTTCAAAATAAATATATTTAATTATGCACACATAATATATATATATTGTTAATTGTAATTTTTGATCAGTAAATTTTTATACCTTACGAGATTCTGTAACTTCTTTAAAGTATGTAACTATTGGTAGCTCTGCAACAAATGCGTTACTTGTATTTGGTAAATTGCCTAATGAATTTGTGAAATTATTTTTTGCAAATAACATTTTTACGCCGCTTATGTTTGATATTCTCATTATAGCGGACTCCGGTGTGCTACTTGCCAAGGGTGGAGTCGACTGCAAGTGAAGGTCTATGACATTCCTTGTTGTATTTATTTGTACTATATTGGTTCTTTTATTGTGTCTGCTTAGTTTTGATCTAGTAAATTTATTTGTTTTTTTATTTCTTAGAAGTGAGACTTGGGTTGATGAACTATGTATCGTTGCTATTGTTGAACTAATTGTTATGTTATTATTTATATTGTCCGTGCTTTTCTCAAACGAAGGAGTCCATCGAAAGCGGCTTCTGCCTTGAAATTTACTCTTTGCTTTTTTCATGTTTCTGCCAACAGTACCAAGTAATAACTCTTGTTCTTTGGTTTGTGTTGACAGCGTTGTTTGTGAGGATGGAGAATGTGTGGTGGAAGTATATTTCCCTTTTTCTCTAATTTTTGGTTTTAAAGGTCTTATGGGGGTCGGCAAAGCAGTTGTTTTTATATTTCCGTTCTTATTTTTCACACTTTCTTTAAAAACCAATCTCTTATTATTTTGAATAAATTTACCTCTTTTATGTATCGGAGGATAATTATTTGTTTTGTCAGGAACTGATATTTTCTCTTTGGAATAATTTGACATCTCTATAGCATTCCAAATAGCGGTAGTTGAAGTATTGTCTAAATATGGAAATTCGGTAATAGGCGCAGAAATGGTTCCGAAATCCACTGTTGGTTTAATTGGATAAGATCCCAAAGTGTCTGTCGTAGTCTGCAGCGAAATTTTTGGAGTAAACTCTTTTATGTTCTGTCTGTCTCCAGATGCACAATTATTATTTATTTCTAATGATGAATTTGAACAATTATTGTTCATTGATTGGTCGATAACCCAATTTGCTTTTGTAGTATCAACACTTGAATTCTCATATTCATATAAATATTTAGATTTATTTTTAGATTCATTATCGCTGATAGAATATTTGACAGTATTATTTAAAAATTGAGGAAGTGACGTAGGATTTGAAGTCATAGTCCATATTACAGGAGTTGCGGTATTAGATCGATGCATTTTGTAATTTATGATAGAGTCACTTCCATTATTTTCAGTTTGGTGTTTTTGTTTTTTAAACAACTTAAATTGTGAATTATTGAGCGTTCGTGGTGTTGTTATAGCATCTCCTATAGTGAAATAGATGTGAGATGTATTTATGGAATTCGGGACCGTGGTAGCGTGAAAAAAGTTATACATGTACGTATTCCTTGTGCTATGTTCAAAATATTGTGTATATGGGTTCCTTGTGGTAGTGTCAAATTGTAAAATATTGGAAATGTGTTTGGTTTTATTTAATGAAACTTTTTGGACGGTAGTTGGAATAGTAGGCATTTTTTCGACGCATAAAGCCAATTTATTTGCATGAGGCATATTCAAATTATGTGTGTTAACACAATTATTTTGTAGTGTTGTAATCGTAGATAGTATTGGTCTACTTAAATATTGCTCACGAGGATGAAAATTAGATCTCATATTTGCTTCAGATAACATGTAATAACTTGTTCTGGGCGTTGTTTTTAATAATTGGTTGGAATTTTTGAATGAGAACATGTAGTTTGACCATTTAATGTTCTTAGTCGCTGGCAAATTGCGTAGCGGAAAATATCTGAAATGATTTCTACTATAAATAAAAAGAATTAACCATTTTCTAATAAATTCAATCAAAGTTGCACAAAAGTGGTAAATAAAAGCAATTAAGTTATATTAAATTATAAAATATTATTCCGAAAAAATTTCTGAAATATTTTGTTATTGTTCTTGCCATAAGATTATCCGAGATATTACTTTTAATTTCAAATTGTAAAAATTATTTCAGAACAGAGCAATGCTTAAGATTATTTAAAAATTTGGTATTATTCGAAATACTGAACATATGTATGTATGTATATGCTTGACAGCAGCGAATACCTTTTGTCGTTCTGGTTCAATGTTAAGATGGCTCGATATGGATATTTTTTGGAAGGGAATAAATGCACTCTCTGCCGTCTCCACATATGATTGGGATAGTAAACAGGTAAATAAGGCAGTTGAGATCTCTCATTGTTATGGCGATAAAACGGTATTCCGTTCGAGCTTCGATCTATATGATCATTAATTATTGTTAGAGTATTAACATATTTATATGAGCAGCCCTGTAAAAAAGAACTAAATTATATCATTCAGGCATTAACTACAAACACAAATAATTACCTACCGCTTTTAACAATAATAAATATTTTTACTTAATATATTTATTTTCTGCTTAGATCAAGCATTTATTTTTGTTATTTTATCATGAGCATACCATAATGATGAAAAAAGTATACATACATAAATCTTCAAAAATGTATCATATACATTTTTCTTATGTAATTGATATGATTTATGAAGTAAAAAAATGTTGGCGAAACTACAAAGTTACGTAACATCTTTAGCTTGCATGTTTTTATATTTGAATTTGATAATGAATTTACACAGTCTACTAATTAAAGAGCTAAAAAATCAATTGACATTTAAATACATGATTGACTCCATGAAAGATTCATCTTTAAAAAAAATGCTCCAATAGTGTTATTAACATTGCGAAATGACTTGCCAATCAAAGGTATATGTAAGTACTGTCTGCGTATTGAGAAATGCTGAACTAAAACGTGTTGATCAGCTTTAATCACAATGTAAAAGTAGAATATTGGCTCTTTAACAATCTTCAAAGCTTGATATAAAGACTTTCACCCTCGATATTACCAAAAACTATTAAAGATATGTTTTAAAACATCTTTGACAACATGAGTGGATTTCTGCTAGCTTAAGTTTAAAACTGATACGAAACTGGATATTCGGCGTTGTGTTGTTAATATAGCTGTTTTGGATGTAATGCTAAACATGAAATACTAAGGACGAAAAAATTAGACCTCAACAGTGTTACTTTTAGAAGTTCGAAATACTGTAGTTGATAATATATTCGTTTTATTCTTAGTATTGCCAAAAGAGTGGAACTCCTGGAACCTCATTGCCATTTACGAAATTTCACATTTCTCTGGGGATTCGTACTTCGATGACTTCTCTACATTAAAACCTGTATAAATAACGAAAACCATGTGTCCCGCGAAATCCAACTAAAAATTGCTAATACTACTACGACTACTATGCCACTTTCAATTCTCACTCCCAAAACACATTTTAATTTTTTCGCTGATGTGATAAACTGTATAAAATTATTACTTAGTGGTGTTGTAAACACCGGGTAGGGGCTTGACTACATTTTTTGCTACAAATTGACGTTAACTTACTGAGCATTCTAACCATTGTAAATGAAAAACAAGCCTGGGCTGCTTGATACTAACTGTTCTGACAATACCATCTTTTTTAAATTTCATAAAATGGAGCAAGTGTTTATATTGTTTGTTTTTGTTTTTTTAATTTTGCATACAATTGCACAACAAGAACGATACAACGGTAATTTTTTTGTAGTGATGTATTTTGAGTATTTTTTAAGGTCTCAATTTTTCCAAAAATTGACTTATCACTTTGGCACACTCTGTCAAAGATAGGTATTTACATATATTATATGTTGAGGTGTTTAATGTGCACTGTACCAAAAATGGACAATTCATCTAAAAATTTGTAGTTGAAGACGCTTAAAAAGCATTTTTTTCTTATTTATTTTGATTCTGTTATACTGGATTCTAAATTCACAATGTGAAAAAATGTTCCATCTTATATGTCTAAAATACTTATAGTACTATGAATTATATACTTGCACCCAGAACAAATAATATTAATTTTATTTTTATCAAATTGCGATTCATCTCAGTATTGTGACCGTGATTGTTGAACGATATTTCTAAACTGAGTAAATAAACTTTCGATATCATAGCGTTGTGTACGGCCAAATATTCACGCATGAAATCATCAGGCGCAAACGATTCACTTACCTTTTTTACTTGCATGTCTTGTGGTTTGAATTGAACAACTGTTTTTGCAAAAATACAGCACTTTACATACTTGAGTGAAAGTTGGTAAGAAGTGAAATTTCTTTAATATCGTTGTCATGATCTAATCATATGTTTTTAAATAACTACCGTATTTAGTTTAGTTTAAAAATGACATTAACTAATTCATAAGAGATGCATTTTATGTTTTGCAGCTATTTTATTTTAATAAAGCTATATTTCTATATACATACTTAAATATATAATGAAACACATCCACGAAAGAAAAATATCCAAATGTTTTAATATGAAAATTATTATTATCCACCTAAAATAGGCATTAATAGATACATCAAAAATGCAAATAATATTATATAAAAATTTCAAATTAATTATGAAGCAAGTATACTTCTATATATGTCGTTGTGATACCGACACGTAGTATAAATATATATTTTTTCGGTTGTAATGCCATTATTTAGGGATTTATTTTATTAATAATAGGAGGAAATGCTCATCAATGTATTTTGATTATACATAAATTCAAAAATATAAAATAAATAAATAAAAATGTGTATATTGATTACTGGAGGAATACATTAACAAGGCCTTTTACTCCATATTGTTACTTTTATTCGATTCAGCTCTATTTTCATTCGAATTCGTTTCATTATTTTTTAAATCATTCTGTTTGTGCGCCATTTGATATTGATTTACTTCGTGATCTAAAATAAATCCACATGTTTGCGCGGACGAAGGATTTATATTGGCATATAAATTATTTCCTTCTACAATAAAAAGATCATTTTGAGATTGTAGATCTTCACTAACTAATGCGGATTTTGAAGCACTGACTGCTTTGGGTAGATCATTTGATTTTTTTTTCTTCAGAACTGTCGTATGGTCCGCGGTTTTAAAAGTCACCGTATTTCCTTTTATCTGTGTTGTTTCGCCGATATCCTAAAATATAAAATCTTTATAATTTAGGACAGTCATTTGTTGAAATAAAATAAATAAAGTTCTTTACAAAATTCACGTAGTTAAAAGAAATTACATATACATATGTATATGTGCATTTCGAAATTTGTAGTATCATATATTACCTCTGTATTTTCTTGAAAAGCACACTCAAAAATTGATTTATTTTTTGAGATTGGTAAATCCATAACGAGATCGGGTGCAATGGGCTTCTTTTCGTATGGCAAATTGTAGCAACTTTCCTTGGATGTACCGCGTGATCTTACTTCCCATAAAAATTTATTTTTTTGGAATTCACTCAAATTCTTCAACTCCTCTTCGGTTGTATCGTCAGTTTTAATAGAATGTTCAAAATCCGCTGTAGATTGAACACTGTCAACATTAACATTTACCGGGGGTATGTTGGATATGACTGAATTATCTACTACATCTGTGCTTCTTTGCAATATTTCGTTGCTGCTCTGATGAGTGTTAATGGACTTTTTATTGAAATCGGAAATACATTGAATTGACTCCGGTGCCGGTAGACGCTATAAGCATTAAAATAGTAATTTGTTTAATTTATATTTCAACACAATTTAATGCATAGCTCAGTCGACAGTGGCCGACTTATACATTACCTATGGTCTATGGTTTTTAAGAGGTCGAACGAAGGTTATAAGCTTATTTAAAATCTTCATATATGATCAATTTCAAAAGCAAATATGTCCGTATAGAATTTCTTTCAGATCTTGCAATTGGTAGTAGTGAATTTAAACTTATTGTAGAATTTTAAATTTACAGTATAAGCATAAATGAATTTGTTTAGAGATCCTAATGAAAAAAAAGTTTATATATGATCTTCAAATTTGAATTAAACACTAATATTGTATGAAAATATTAAAAAATATGTATATTAACAGTATTTTTCCCTTAAATTTGTATAATCAGTAATATAGACAGAGCAAGTTTCGTCTTCAATAAGAGCGATTAAATCTCCTAATGTACAATTTCTCAAACAACATAAAATTTATAATGCTAATTTTACACGGTCGTTTCAAGTACCTCTAAATTGTCACAGGTGTTTACAATCTGTATTTCGGCATGTTTCTCGTAGTCATTCAAAGAATTATCTTCATAAAATTCATTATTGGTTCTTGAATTGTATGAAATGGGATCAATATTAGGCTGTAAATATACGTGACAATCCTCTTTCGTGGTTTCTGCTTGAATTTCAACAGTTGGCTCGTTCTCAGCATTGATATCCCTATGGTTGTATTGTTCAATAGAGATTTTGTCTCTGTCTTCTCCTCTATGTACATAAATTTTAATATTACTGTTTTACATTTTCAAAATATATGAACATACTTTATTCTAAGGGATATATATTTATCTGGTATCAAACCCTCTGTTCCATTTAATGCTCCGTGCCACCAATCATTAGATACCTGAAATATTCGATATTAACTTCTCTAATAATATGGAATGCAAAGCATACCTGTTTTCTTAAGATTACAATATCTCCTTTGCGAATTGATAACTCACGATTAGATCGCGCTTTAAAATCGAATTGAACTGTGGCTTCCAAAGTTTCTGATTCTATACATGAGGAGAAATAGTGAGATGATCATACTTTATTTACGAGTTTTAAGTTTTTTTTTTAAATATATACTTGTTTTTTGTTTTCGTAGAGATTTCCGTCGGATAGTTTACTAAGAGAATTGATATGCTCTCTTGGAAGTAGTGGTTTGGAACAAAAATAATTAAAATAGGTACGAGACTTACCCTAGCTTCTAAATATAATGATTTTAGTTATTCTAGTCGATTCTGCTTTTTTTTAAAACGATAGGAAGGTTTTTTGCTACAATAAACATTACCTGGCTTGATGTAAAAAAAAAAAAAAAAAGAAATCTTTGCATTCGCTTCCCTATCTCTCATACATCCATATATTAGTTTTTTTTTTTTGTTTTTGCTGACGATCAACCTCATAAAGTATGAGTGCAAGATATCTTAATGCAATTAGGATTGAATATTTCGCTTAGCAATGTATTTTGCTTCTAAAAATTAGTGATAGCGGTCATCGCTAAGAGAAATTAGAAAGACTTGTTTATAATTTCCCCTCGTACCTTAACGAACGCTGAATTGACTGGCAATATTTTTGTATTACAGTTTTTTGGCAACTGGAATTATGTCAGATGCTTTCAGTTCGTAGTTCTCACTTGTTGGAGAATGTTAGTTTTTAAAGCCAATAAATTTACAGACTTTCGTAAAAAAATAACTAGTTATGTATAATGTAAGTTATATGAAGGAATCTATTGATTATAGCTTTTTTTAACCTTACCATCTTCGGAGGGGCAAACTTCCGAGTCCGGATCTTCAGTCACATTATCAACTGGGGATTCTCCAACAAAACTATAGATTTGGTAAAGTCGTTAGTATAATTGATAAGATTGAGTAAATATGCATCTTACATATCCATGAAAGGTTCGTGAGATATATATTTTTCGTATTCCAAGCCTACTAAATCAGGCGGAAAAATATCATCGTGGTACAATATCATACATTTAATTAGCTCGTTTATCTGATTTTGGTATTGAACTTGATCTTTATCTTCCGGTGCAGGCATAAGGGTCGGGCCAAAACAAATAGCTAAATTAAATGCATCCATCATATTTTCATCCGCGTATTCCGATAGGCTATAAGAAAATGGTTATCATAGTTATAAAAAAAACAATATACTCATTTTGGCAAACTTACTGATTTAGAAATGCGAATAAATAACGAATAACTATTAAAACCGTAGGAGAAAGATTGCTTAAAAAATTTCTTATTGCTGTTATGATATCCTCTTTTGAACGTATTTCTAATAAGAAAATTAAAACAATATATATGTGGCACTTAAACTAAAATCAACTGAAATACCTGCAATAGACACAAAATGTTCAAAATATACTATAGGAAACAATGGCTCCCTCAACTCTCGCAAGTACAACTTTAAAAGTCCAGCAACGGAATTAATATCTGACGCATCATTTGTATCTGCAAGTGGATCTTCGCCCCTTTCAAATGCTTCTCGAAAATTTGAAATTTCCACTTGGGACCCTGAAACTCTAAATATTCCTTGATGATGTAATCCTGGAATATTTTAAATTAATTTATAAGTTATACAACTAAAGTCGTTGGTTATTTATTACCATATAAATTAATAACACGTATGCAGCTACGCATAACGAGTGGTACTTCCTCGCTGGTAAATTCTAAATATTCTTCTAAGGAACCGCCAAATAATTTAGGTTGGCCAGTAATATTGACACGTCCAATTCGTTTCCGGTTCGATGTTATGGCTTTCGTATGAGAAGGTAAACAACATGAATTGTCCTTAATTAAAACGTTTCGTAAAAATTCAGCCTTTGCGCTTAAACGTGCTATGCGTGAAGTTCCGTTTATATACTCTCGAATTTTCTGTAATAACAATAACAATTTATCTGAACGAAATCTGTGCAACAACTTACCAATATGTAATAATCTTCAATGTCCTGTTTCTCGGCTTTCAACTTAGGCGTAATATTGCTGTTGGGTGTCTTATGTATATAATGTTTTCCTTCAGAAAAAATATCGCTGGTGTCATTGTCCTTGTTATTATAATGTTCCAAAAGTTTTGTTTCGGCTGTCTCGAGTGACTTCCAAACTTCGTCGCATTCAATGCGAAGATCTCGTAACCTTTGACCTAAAGTTTCCAATCTTTGTTCCATATCTAAATGTAATTCTTTTTTTATATCAATTTCAATGTTTTCAGTCTGATCCTGTTGGCATTGCAACTCTAAACGTTTAGGTATTATAAACGCTGTATGATGGTGCTCTAGAAATTTTTGCTTATCAGCTCGACAATCGATGGAGTGTATTAAATGTGAGAGATTATCTGCTTGTTGAAGAATTGCCCTTGATCGACCCTGGTCTGCCGAAACATGCATTAGTATCGCTTTTGAAATCATAGATCCAAATCCAAGATCCATACACTAATGGAAAAGTGAACTGTATTGAACACAAATGTTATTAAGGAATAATGTATCTTACATCTATTAGGTCACACAAATCTTCCACAAAATATTTATGTATCGTAGTATTTGAAGCTTCCAAACATAATTGGTACTCAGTTTTAGCTTTTAGCGCTTTCAGTCTTGCATCTTTATATTTTGTATCTCTCTGAAATTAAAGACAAATATTTTATATATCTCTACTACTCTATAACAATACCTTAAGTAAAATAATGCTTTACCTTGACTATTTCTTTTTCGGTAAGTTTATATTTCTTATTCCGTTCCAGTTTTTCTTTTGCAATTGTCTGCTCCAATTTTTTTCTCTGGGCTTCTGCAGTAACCAACTTTAGTTTAGCTGATTTACATTCACTCTACAAAAAAAATATAGGTACATCATCATTAAATATTATTTAAAAAAAAAAAAAAACTTTATTCAAGATCCGCCTAACCTCATATCTTTGATAAGTTTTCATTGTCGTATGAAGTTCTTGAAGGAGATGTTGAATATCTTCGTGAATTTCATATCCTATTAATTTAACCTATTTAGGAAATATGATAATTTCACATTAATAATTAAATAAAAACAAACAACTTTTCAACTTATAGTTTTACCTTTTTATATATTCTTTGAACATCTTCAATAGTGGTCTGTAAACTTGCAACAATACTTATAGAATATAGGTCGGCCAATATTGCGTGATCTTTTGACAACGACTGAGTTTCCTTAACTAAATGTTGCCAACACGCAAACGTTGAAAATATTGGCCAGTGATCTCTTCTAAAATAAAAAAAACATATGTTTAAATTTGTAATTGAACTCGTTAAATTAATATAGAACATAAAATAGAACATATACAGGGTTAAAAATTTCGGGTCTAATTGACCCAATACCCCAACTATATAGTTTCCATTATTGATTACGATTTGAGTCACACTTCACGTGTTTCATAATAGAACATAGATAAAAAAAAATTCAATTTTTTTTTGCATCATACTAAAAATTTACACACATTGGGTTAAAAGCATTTTTTTTTTTTTAATTTAAGTACTTTTGTTTCTGTTCCTTGTGTTTTAAGAGCAATCCACGTGCAAACTTCTCTAAGCTTTTACTGTAGTCTAGCTCTAATTCTCCACGACGGCGAAAGAAATCTTGAATTTCTTGAATTAATCCAATTTGTGACTCCACCCTGGTATCAAGACATCGAAGTTGTTCATTGAGCTGTTGACGAATACCTAGAAATATTAATTGATTCCATTTAAATTACTTCAATCGACTTGTGTTGGAGTTGTTTTAACCAAAGTAAATGGTAAAAGAGTAATCACTTCCTACAGATGTTCAAATTATGTTATATCTGTATATTATTTAAATTTGAATTGGAAAATAATAAAAAACTTTGAATATAATTATTCTAATTTGTTGTTAAGAAATGTTCTTACCAAAATGTGTAAATAAGTGCACCATTAAAAAAAATTTAGAAAGGGGAGGATATATTTAATAAAATATTTAATGACAGAACAATAATAATTATTTTTATTTACACAATTTTATAAAAGTTGCAAATAATGATATTAGCTAGATTTAATATGTATACACTCCTATTAACAAGCTTATGGTAGTATAAAAAATAATAGTAGCAACTAATGTTTAAAATAAATAATTGAATGAATAAAGTTAAAATAATATTTTAATTACTTACTACTGAACATAACGATCTTTCTTGTAGATCCCACTCTTTTCATTGGGCTCTTTATATCCTGATCCTTTTCGCCCATCTTTATATGATCAACAAAATCTAAAATATAAAAGAAAAATTTAATTTTAAAATTGGCTACGAAGCCATTATTCATTAAGATCCTATTTGCCATTCGGAGAATATATAATACCAGTCGGCTTAAAAAGAGATAGTTGGTAACTCTACATAGGACATACAGACAAAATTATTTCGCTCCTCCTTTTTTACAATCTTTAAATTTTTACCTAAAAACTAATAATTTCTTGCTATTACTATTACGGGTATAACATACATATACGTAAGTAATTAGATTAATGAATTTAATAAAATGAATTATGGGTAAACAAAACAAAGAAAATACAAATATTGTAAACAATTCAAACCGGTTCATCCCATAATGTGTTGGAGTATTAGTAGCCTTTAAACCAAAGTACAAACAGTGAATTTGTCAATTATTTTTTGACTGTTATTAAGTTATAAACTTTTCAATAATTAAAACAAATAAATCACGAATTTCCTAGAATAGACTTACGTATCTTAGGAATATGTATACGCTTCTAAAATTGTTTTTACGATAGCGTCGTATTAGTGCGATACCTGGTACGAAGTGGAAACTGAAACATATGTGGCCTAAAGAACGCTACAGAAGGTATTATATTCATATTAATTTTATTAAATATGTATTAAATTCGACTCTTAGAATGTAACACAACTGTCGTGGACCGAATTAATTGATTACATCCTTTGCCGAAACGGACATGATTTTTTTTCCGACCAAGGGCTGTTAACTCCGTACATTCCTCCAAATTACTTCAGTATTGTTTTCCTCCACTACACCAAAAAAAACAACAACTACATAATTTGCAACGAGTCCGCAATTCGAGTCGGACAAATTTCAGCATTTCCTTTCATTTCACAGTCTCAAATTCTTCTACGCTTCATGTACGCGCTTATTCACCATTTTCTAAAATATTTTTACATATTTTACATACATACATTTAGTACATACAAAATTATATAATAAAATTAAAGTTTCTCAACATATTGTAAATATTCATTTGAAATCCACCACCAAGTGCCAACCGTGCAAAATCGACAGGATCTCTTCGTCTTTCTTCGTCGTACCTTCGACTACGACAACCAGTTTAGGCGGCAAAAATAGTCCTCGTCTGAACATACACAGAGTGAGCTCGAGCTACTCGGGCTCGTTCGAAAACTGTTGTTGCGCATTATCAGCAACTTCTTTTTTGGTGTTACGCATTCCGCTCACACGAATAACATTTGTCAGGCAATTTTCTCGCATTCTTTTCATATAATTTTATCAAAATCTCTTACCAGTACCAAAAATGAGACATCGCCGCACCAGCATTTATCGCCTGGATGCACAGGATATAGTTGAAGAACACTTATCTAAAACTGTCGTTTTATGGTTCCGATAAAACATTTCCTCATCGAGGCTCGTGTGTTGCTCATTACAGAGCACATCGAGTTCCTCCCACTTACTTATTTTATATACTCATACCAAACATTAAAACCAAAGAAAAATATTGAGGGTCACAATTATCTACATTCCATCTCAATTTACAATATGTAAAGAATTAAATTATTTGTCCATTTTAAAAACTAATTGTCTGTCATTTCGGCATAGTTGGTGGCTTAGAGGATTTAATAATCCGATGGCCTGGTGCTGAGGGTGAAAGACTAAGTGGGGAGGGCATATCATGACGTTTATCTTGTATTGATAAAGGAAGAAATTGTTGTTGACGCTTCTTGTTCAAGTTGCTTATATTGTGATTATTTTCACTTTTCCCAAAGAGGATAGCTAAATGAACCGCACAAAATAAACCCAAACTCTGAAAAGTGAAATGGGATTAGTGAAATTTTAAATAATGTTTCAAGAAATAAAAATATTTACCTGCACAACAGCAATGGTTGCAGAGCCTAATGAAGTAAAGAGTAATCGATTTCTAATTTGCTCAGATACAACCGATAAACAACCTCTTTTATAATGAGTGTCACATGCAGATTCATAAGCATGTTCTGGTCGGGAGCAACAAGACCACGGGAGGGAAAGCCGACGGTAATCCAAGGGTCCGTCTACTCCGCAACACTGTAACTATAAGTATGGTTTTTATGGTTAAAAAGTAGTATATACCGTAAAAAACATTATTATTAATAGTATGTTTTGACCAAAAATTTGACGTGATTAGATTACATTTAATCTATTCACTATTCTAGACTGTCCTCACTTCCGCTGGAGATTTGTAAAATAGCTGTTTTGTCATTAAAAAATTCGCATCGTTTAGTATTTATTAAAAGAAAATATTGTAATGTCGTTCTTTGTTATAAAAGTTGGCTTGTTTTAAATATTTTTCAGTCAATGGAAAAAATGGACGCATTTTTTGATTTTAGGTGCGTAGCAATGAGACTAGTCAGTGTGGAGCAAATTGAACATAGTCTATTTGGATAAAGGTATGTATGTATATAAATATTATATGTATTATAATATTTTACGTTTAATTCAAACATAATTCGTACATAATTCAGACTCGTGGCCAAATGTTTTAGGAAGTCGTTTGCCAGATGAATTTTGATGCATTTCTTTTCATTAATTTGTTTGTTTACGTTGTTTTGTCTTTATAGTGTATAAAGCAGCTGTGATAAACAAACAGATGGCGCTAAATCCGAGTCGCATAAGGAGATTTCGAGTAGATTAGATTCAAATCACCTCGGTGACAAAATTAACAACCGTCATTTTTATATGGCGAAGTCTTGCTAAATTCAGTATAATAGTGAGATAATCTACTCAACAGCCTAAATCTTGTGATTAGGTATCGGTCGGAATATAATATAAGCTGAATAGAAATTAAGCTAAATAGAGCACAAAGCAAAATCATTTCACGAGTAATTATGGATTATGCTTATCAAATTAGTTAGGAAATATATTAGTTTATAACTCGAAGTTCTAGTCTGCAATCCAATTAGATAAAAAACAACATCTGATTTATACCATCTATAGAAACTCTGATGATTATTTTATTATACCAGTAGTTTTACTTTATAATCCAACTGCAAGTTTTTGGTATATTTGAGTTGTTATGACTTGGTCAGGTTTCTGAAGGGGATTCAACTGTTATTAAAATGCTAGGTTCTTGGTTTGAAAAAAAGCAATTAGATGTGCCAATCGGTAGCTTCTTGCTGTGTTGATTTGGTGAAAATTTTACTACGGTGTAGAATTTTGCTTGCCAAATAGAAAGTAAAATTTTGACAAAAGAAATTCAAAACAAACCCAATTGATTAATAACTAAATTAGTAAATTAAATAACATTTTACAAAAGTATATTGCTTGGCTAATAATAATATTAATGAAATAAAAAAGAATTTATTTGAGGATTTAATATTGATTGAGTACTTTAGGAAATGTGCAAGACTTTTAATTACATGCTACATACTTATATCTTCATCTATACAAAGTTTTAAACGAATCTTTTGTGGATATTGTTTGTCTTCATTCGACATTTATATCTGAATATTTAAATGGAATTTTGCAATAACAAGTTAAAAAAATTGAAACATTATATTATATTTTCTGCAAAATTCAAACATTTGATGTCTGAATGTTTTTTTCCAATGAAGAACTTATTTTATAGAATGTGATTTCATATTTTCTAATTGCTGCTGCGGACCGTGCAAATCTATTCCTTGGTTAATAAAAGTGTTTTTGTAAATGCTGAACTAAGTAGAATTCTGCCGTTCATCGTTCATATTCACCACAATTTATGTATGTCTAAATTTCAACTGTCAAATTCTTTCTGCAATTTTCTACCGATAGTCATACAGCCTTATCTAACTATTTCGGATTTTGGTTCATACTGGTTCTAAAGTAGTTTTTAACTATCTGATTTCACTGCATAGTGTATAATGTATTACAAAAACACTTAAACCTTTATACGATAACTATATGCTAATATATAATTTTATAAACTACATTGGTATTACACATATGTATGTATATCTTATAGATTATAGACATACCTGCGATTGCATACGGTTCCATAAATGCAAATTGTCAACTTTTGTCCTAGAAAATTTGTCAAGAAATTCAACAAACGAATCATCTATAAAAATTTCCACTGATGTTGGGAGGCTCTCACGCATTGCCAACGACCAGCCGCATATGAAGAATTGAATGCAAATGCATGCCACCAATGCCGCTATGAACTATAGATTTGCAAAATTAAAACAATTTTTAAAACTTTAAAGAAACGACCATTGTGAAGTGAACCATTTTCTTGTTACCGTTCCTAGTAGACATCGTTTTCTTTGATTTGTAGCTTGACATCCCATCCAACAGAGAAGAAATGTAACTGGCCCTAAACACAATAGGATGGCAGCTGGAGCCCATAATTTATTTTGGACAATACCGTAATAACCAGAATGACCCCATAACAAAATTGTACCAACTAGTATTTGGGCAGCACCAGTTACCTGAAAATTACTACATTATATTACCGGATGTTCGTGCATACATACAAGTATATGTAGATATAGATAATACTTTATATATGTCACATATTGTAGGATGTATGTGTACAGATAAACTAGTTACGTTATAAAACCAATGAGTTCTTGACCTTTGTAAGTAATTTAGTTATCATAATTGATGATTTAGTAAAATAATATTATCAATTTATCCTTGAGTTTATTTTAGCAAATCGACCTTCAAATATTTAGTACTCATTACTTTGCCATATCCATAAAAAAATATTAGTATAGTTGATGTTACGTACCATTAAGAGCACGACGTAGCTGTAAACTAAATATTTAAAACATTTAATCCGCTTTGTTAATGCCATATCATATGTCGACGCTTGCACTGAACGCGAACTTTGGGTGGTAATTCATTTACAAATTTAGAGGAATACAATTATTATCCAATGTAAATTTTTCCGCGCTCGTAATTGAGTCTATTTAAGAAGTTTCCAATCAAAAAAATTGCCTCAACATTTTGAAAAACTAAGGATTCTAGTTTTAATACTTCAGTATTTTAATATAGTAAATCGCAAATTATATTTCAGTTTGCTGTGATTATTATGTATAAGAAAGCACGATAAGTGAAATCAGTTTGATAAACTGTTTGACTTTTCCTGTGCTTGTGTTGCTGTCCTTCAAGCTTGCTTCCATGCACACTCACTCACTTATGTACAAGTGACGTTCTTTTTAAGCTTTTCATATTATCTATAACTTTTGTATTCCAACTACAATCTAATGAATCAAAAACAAATGGTGCCATATTTAAAATATGAAAAAGGGGTGTATGTATATATCGGATATATGGAAATTAAATAAATATTGGGATAGATTGTTTTTAATTTTAATACTAACTATAAGTTTTTGGAAAAAAATTTCTAAAATATCCATAAATAATTAATTATAATATATTTTCTAAACCAAAAAATCTATTAGTCCATACTACATTTCAACAAGCTCAGTTTAAGAAAAACAAACATAGTATTCTAACTGTATGTATATACATATATATATATATATATGTACCTTTGTATATAATATTTATTTATTTCAATATAATAAAATCAGTGAATAAAATTGTGAAAATTTACATTTATTCACCTTAAGTATACTGGTTTTTGTTTATGTGCTTATATTATATAATAAACTAATTCGGGTACTTAGTATTTTTATGTTCTAAATGGACTAGTGTGCAAACTCGGTTGCATATGAGATACGGGACGGGAGGAAAAGAACGTCTATTTCATCGACTGCTAGTCTGACCAGTCATTTTATTTATCTCTCTCTCTCTTTCATTATCTATTCTTTAACTTCCTTCTTCTCATGAAAACAATCAGCTTTATACTAACAATTCCAGATCAATTTGAAAGGAATCAAAATAGGCCTATTTATGATTTTCGTAACGAAGGAATACATATCTCAAAAGATATATACTCTTCTCGAAATAATTTAGTAAAATAATAGCATAAAAAATATTAAAGATCGTAGGCCCATAAGTGTCCTCACGGTAGTCACTGTAACTTAGGAAATTTTTTATCTGAAATTAAAAAAACAAAGATTGCCTGCTTAAACAAAGGATTTTAAGAAAACTTGAAAATTTGTTTTTTTTTTTGCATTTTTCGCAAGTTATAAGCACTTTTGCACTAAATTTGGCCACGTATTACCCTCTCAACTGAATTGTAAATGATGATAAAAAAATCCTTCGTTCAAGCAGTAGACAAACATGTTTAAAAGATGTATGCAAAATTTCAAGTCAATCGGTTCATAAGTTATAAAAGTTTCTCTCTCACAACATAGCCTCTCATCAATTCGGATCTAGGCAGAGCCAACGGCAAACTCAGCCCCCACTTATTGGTAAGCGTGACCGATATATGTATACATTGGCTTTTCTTATTGGAACATAAATAAAATAAAAACTCCACTAGACAGTAACATTTGAAAAAGTAATATGCCATATATAATAATGGACATTGTAGATATACAATTATGTATTTGACTCACTGTAAAATAATTAAAAAAGTTGAATAAAGACTCATACCTACAATACAATTTCAATTGAATTTACGCATGCGAAAAGATACACACATTTAGAATACATGAATATAAGCTTTAAAATATAAATAGTTAACAGACAAATTTAGTATTTTGATAAACGTCTGATATAGTTATAAGTAGGCGGCAATATGTGAGTCATAGGTGTGGATGACGTTGCAATTGGTGTCTGACGTTCTCACAACACACTAAGCAGAGTATATATAATAATATACGTGTTTTAAATATTTTCAGTTCTAATATTATACTTCTTTGCGTTTACGATTGTTGTCTTTATGTTGGATACATTCCATAGATGGAAGTATTTGTGGAGCGCGGTACTAAGAGACACCCCCTAGCAACATATTCGTAAGTCAGGATATGTTTCTCTTATGTTGATCCTAATGTCGTAAATATAAAATATTGAACACATAAGGTGTATAAATAGATATACACCATTAATATATTTTATATGAGTTTATGTCTGTATAATGTATGTATGTATACCATGTATAATTATACTACTAATGAATCGATGTTGATTAAAGGATATTCAGTATAAAGACATTTGTATTAGTGCTATAGTATGCAAGTAATATATATATATACATTATATTTATGAAAGTACTTTTCAGTTTGATGTTTTTGTGAACATTTTTATTGGTAAATTTTTCAAATACTTGTATATGTATATAAATTAATAATAATAAAATTCAATGTATTTCTAAAATTTCTTTTTATTTATAACTGCTACTGCAAACAAATGTATGTACAAGTATATGGTTGCGGACAATTTGAGATCGATTATTGATCAACTAGGAATGAAAATGTTATTGTATTTTATATATGCACACAGATACCATAGACACTTTCATACGTATACCATATGTGTATGGTTGTAATTTCAGATTGGGGAAATAATATTTTTGTTTTCGCCAAATATTCCTTAAGATTTCTCATATGTACCAAATGCATTTAATATGTACATATGTATGTACATATATACATACATACAGACGCTGCTATAGATATCTATACAAAAGTAATATAGGGGAATTGTACACGTAGAAAAGCTTAAAATAAAACATTGAAATTTATTAAGTTTGTGGAAAATTTTTAAAAATAGATTTTCGTAATTCACTAAAGCTACTACTTTCTATTTTTTAACTTTAGTTGTTATAATCCATTCAAATAATAAGGAAATAAATAAAACTTATGAGTAAGATCATGACATTTTTTGAATATTTATTGTGCTTCTAAATATTTATGGATGAGTAAACGACTATTTCTTCATACACCTCATATAGTTTGTGTGCAAAAGCTTTTTCTCTCAGTATAATATACCTTAAACGAAGAGAGGGTAAACGAGAAAAAATCAACGAGTCTCTTGAACATTGGCCATCTCTATCTAATAACACAAAATTCAGATACGTTGTGCCGTGTGCACTCACAAATATAGACTACCTGCGTGCAGCAACCTTTCAGTTCATTTAAGATCGTTGCTAATCGAGGAAAAGTACTTTGGCGCGGTGCTCCGATATATTTCACCTAGTTTTAAAAAATTAAATAAGAAAAAATTCCAGTTACCTAAGGTATGATTATGAGTTTTATCCTTAAAAAATACAAATAATTTTATTCAGTTAATTAAAAGTGCTTTTGAAAGGGACAATAAATGAATTACTTCTGAATCTGCTCTAAAACAAATACAATAGATTAAAAGCGCTTTGATATGCTTTATAATTTAAATATATTTATTCTTAGATATAAACATGCCGTTCACACCTGTTGAAACACCTAAATGCCCCAAATGTGGCAAATCCGTTTATGCCGCTGAAGAGAGAGTAGCTGGTGGTTACAAGTTCCACAAAACCTGCTTCAAATGCGGTAAGGCGATCTGAGTCAAAATTGACGATATAAAAACGATTAAAATGTTGATTCTATGTCTATTTATTTTTTAACTCAGGATTGTGCAACAAAGCCTTGGACTCCACGAACTGTACAGAACACGAAAAAGAGCTGTTTTGCAAAAACTGCCATGCCCGTAAATATGGTCCAAAGGGTTATGGTTTCGGTGGTGGTGCTGGATGTTTGTCAATGGATTCTGGAGCACATTTAAACAGAGAGTAAGTATATCCAACCATTCTTCATTCTAAACTTCGTACATAACTTATTAAAATTGTCACTACTTTGTAGCTATTTGTAATATCTAATATAATCCATTGTACAAATATCATAACTTTATGTATTCATGCGTGTTTTTACGAAATGTGGCAAGAAAATGTAAATATCCAAAGCTTAAAAGCTAATCGTAGAAGATTGTATTTAGCGAATACACATATCTTAATGAAAGCTTTAAGTGTATACACAACGTATACAACATATACTACATTATTTTTATACAATTGTGTACATATATGCATTGTATATAGAAAACGGCAGATGTATTCATGTAATGCATGTATTTATTTTCCACACATTTTCTATAAATAGATTACTTCTAATTGCATATGTATGCATATACATATGCATGTTTACATTTTGTCATTATTCGAAAACTAGTTTCGTTCATCCATATTTTCATTTACAAAACTATTGCCATAAACGAATATTTGTAATATATAAAAAGTCCATGCGAGTATTTCAAAGAAATAAATTAATTTCTAACTAGGTGATATTTTTAACTTTACGAATGTGTGTATTTGCGAAAATACTCACAAATGTATTGCCTTGTAGCACTGAATGGTACACTTATATATGAATATGTGCTAGCTGTATTTAGAAAACGTATAAAATACTATTCTTCATTTCGATATTCTCCCATTGTAAACTACTATAGATATTCCGAACATTTTCGTTGCGATATAAATAATGTGTAAATATACAAATGTCTAGAGTCATAGGAAGAATAAAAAGAATAAATTTTCATTTAATATTAGTTATTTTTAAATAAATGAAAAGAAAATTATATTTTCATGCTTGTGCCTTAGCATAAACGTAAAAACTTATAAAAGTTCACATTAAAATTTCAAAAATAATTTCAAAATGCCTATGCGTCATGCTTTAACTTTATTTTAGAATATTTGAAAACACATATGTTTTCCTTAAATTCAAACATATTATTATTTTTTCATATTATCGCAGCAACTAATTTACTGGCGAAAGATAGACGCAGCGATGGAGTTCAGGATTCAAAATGTTCTGTCGTGTTAATGTGAACACCTTTCCCGTTTAAATAGTCTACTACATGTTCCAATGTTTTATTACATGTCGCCTCGAAATGATATTAATATTTGTTTTTTTTTTTGTATTGATGAATATTTCATAAATATATGTATCTCTGTATTTGTGAAATGTTATTAAAAAACTATAAATAAAAATAAAAATGGATTTTATTTACGAAAAACTTGTATTACACATTTTTACAATGGGAGATATTATTATTAAACAAAATGCAGATTTTTTGCTAATGTTATTGTAACAAATGCATGTTTTCCAATATGAGCAAACGAACCCTAACAAAATGCCTGTGTACATAGTATACCTATATATTCGTTGGTTATTTAGTATTATAATTTTTCGTATTTCATCCAAGATGATATCACCAAATTATTATTAATATTAATATTATATTATAATTATTAACTGGAACTTAATTTATATAATTATGTACATACAAGGTGTAACGGAGGATCCATTACTTTAAAGTACAATAGTTATAGCGTTTGATGATAACATTGTAGATTCGTACATAAAAGTAATAATGCACATCGTTTATAGTTTTTTTTGCTAGTATTGTGAGTAGTATTTAGCTTCCTCAACGAAAACAAAACATAGTGTTGAAAATGTTACAAAATGTTTAATGTCTAAATTCTATAGTGAAATAATTCAAGTAATGGTGCTATACAAAAATACCAAAGCAATTTTAATTGCTTAACAATCGGTTTCACGAAAGTGGTTTGTGTTGAAAATTAAGTTTTGCATGTAATTTTGTTTTTCAAGTTAGTAAGTTTTTTGTGAAGATTATATCATGCCTACAAATATAAATAGCAAATTAATTCAAAGTATTTCTTTAATATTTAATTATAGTGACATTGATGGTATACGTAATGGTGCCCGGTTAGAGCCACGCGTTATTGCTAAAGCTCCAGAAGGTCAGGGTTGTCCCAGATGCGGTGGTTACGTATATGCGGCCGAGCAAATGTTAGCACGAGGCAGAGTAAGTTAATTACAACCAGATGTTTCTAAGAATTTTTTTTTAAACTGAACCTATTATTTATTTATATACATTAGAATATAGGCAGTTCATAAGCTTACTAAAAAAAATTCAAATCAAACACGTAAACATGCATTAATATGTATCTTCACATATATTAAATCTAATTTTTAAATCGTTTATTTATATTGAAAATGTCAATTAACTAGGGATATCATAGACGATGCTTCAAATGCTTGCTTTGTAACAGAACACTCGATTCTACAATGCATTGCGACGGCCCTGATAAAGATATATATTGCAGAGGTATAAATTTAAATAATCTTAAACTCAGTGTCTTATGTTTTCTTTAGATTGCGGTTGATTTTAAATTATTATTATATATATATATATACGTTAATAATATAAATGTGTATGTGTCGAGAAATATCAGTGATACCTCAACATCCATAATTCTATGTGTACACAATATTTGTA